GCATAGATGTGACATTTTAAAAATAACAGTATTTGGAAAGCAAAATAAAAAATAGAAAATACCTATTTCCATCTTGTATTTTAATACTTTTTTAAAAAGCATTTTCCATTTTTTTTGAAATACTAGACTATATTTGGGTTACATAGACTTTGATAAAAGGTATTTTAGTTGAGAAACATAGATTGATATTAATTATTGGTTTTTCAAATTTCCGATATAAAAAATAAAGACTCCTCCTACTCAAATTATATGGTGGCAACTACGGAACCTTACACTTCGCGTGGCACGAAACGCACTTGGCCAGTTTTATGAATTTATTATTGTACAAGATTATTGATATGTAGGATACTCAACATAATGAAGCACACAGCATCTTCTGATTCATGATATTAATAGATCCTGATTTCTTTGCGTAATGATTTACAGGGCGTGTCTGCTTCCATTGAAATTAGTGATAATTTATTTATATATAGGTATTCGGGATAATATGTACTAGGTATGCCGTAAACTCTTATCAGAATATTAACAAGGTCATGCTTGGAATCCGGATTTATACCGAAAAATGTTTGTTTGGTAATACAATACTTTTAGATATCGAAATAATGGAACTCAAATTTATTTTATGCATTTAGTTCATAAAAAATTACTCGATATTCTGTGTGGTAGAGGATCAAAGGTGCGTCACCATGATATAAGTAGAAAGATGAGTGTACAAAAGATTAAGGTCTTTCTGGCGATGTAAGCAATCTTTCTATTTTATAACAATTTTTTATTACTCGTTTGTTAACTAAATTATAATTATATGGTAAATGAATAGATATTATAATGCGTAGAGACAGTATAAGTAAGTATGTCTTAATGAAGCCAGGTAGACTATACCACGGCGGGTGTTCTGAGGAGTTATTCTCCCTTATCCCTCCATCACCTTTTCTTCAGAGGACCACGCGCGCTGGCCTACGTTGCCACCAACTTACTGTGGCCACTATTTCTACACGAACAAAGAAATTTGGTGACTCATTTCTTTGTCATACTATTCGTAAGTGGAATTTTTTCCCCGTGCAGGTGTTCCCTCCTTCCTACAATCTGGGGTCCTTTAAGAGAGGCGTGAAGAAGCATTTTTGCAGTCCGGCAAGGTGAGGATGGTTGGTGTAGCAGTTTATAACTGCTGTACCAGCTATCTTCGCGTTTGGACTTTATCACCTCTTAACATCAGTAAAGTCATTAGCCTACCTCGCTATAAAAAAAAGGTCGTGTGAGTGGGGAAGGAGAAAAAGTGGAGAGGACGGATCAGTGACAGTATTAGTAGTGAGAAATGGAAAGAAGAAATGAATAGAGGATTCGAAATAGGAAATAAATCATCAGCCTATTAATGTCTCCATTGCTGCGGCATGGGCCTTCCCTATGGATGGTAAAGGGTGATTGGACCATGACCCACCACGCTAGCCCAGTGCGGATTGGTGGATGCTAACGACTGCAGATGCGGCCGGGACCAACGGCTTAACGTGCCTTCCGAAGCACAGAGGAGCACAAAGTAGTAATTTTTTGGTCACCCATCCAATGGCCGACCACTGCGATAGTTGCTTAACTTCAACGATCACAGCCGAACGCGTTAACCGCTTGCGCACTCGAGCGCCTCCATAGATATAGAGAGTAAGAGGAGTGAAAGAGATAAAGTAGATCCGGCCAAACCCTTTTTCTGACAAGAAAATTAAAATGCTGGTCAAAGTACCCCGTAAATGAGTGAACGCTTTTCCATACAATAATGCAAGTGTTTGATAAGACATGAGAAAGTGCACGCTAAGTAATCTATATATTTAAAAGTTAACGTTATCGTTCAAACAAATTAGTAGGAAGAATGCCACCTGCCCAAACTCAACTGATAAGACATTAGACAACGCAAGTAATAACGGCGTGTAAATGGTGTTTAAGTTTAAACGGTATTGCTTTTTGACACAGTTCTTGTTACTAAAATACAAAAAAGTATAGATATACTCAATTATCTGTTTTTCTGATGTGTGTATACATTTGATTTAAATTTCATACTAAATTATAAATTGTTCAATTTTGCTTTCATTTTAATAAGGCACCCCTCTGAGAATTTATATAAAAGTAAAGTTTACCGCCACCCAGAATAATTATTTTTTTACAGATATAAATATAACATATTATTATGGAAACTAAATATAATTTGGTGTTTCCATTAAAATAGTATTAATCTCTCTACATTAATGAAGAATATTAAGTTCCTGTAATGACGACTGTCAGGCTTCTAATATTTTCATAAATTTTTGATTTAAAAAAACCTCATCCGATAAAATGAAAGTAGGTTAGTAGAACCTAAATAACATTATCATAGCTAAAGGTTTAGTTGTTTTTTCATTATCTACTTTTATCTGATAATGTAGCGCCAACATTGTGATATTATAATCATAGTAACTACATAATCCAAGGAGGATTATCAACACAAAAATAAAATGCTGAGAAAAAGGTTTAATAACCTATTTTTTTAATTTTACAATCTTAGTTTAGTTTTTACTATTATCTTGAAACAATTTATAAGGCAGTTTCTACATACGAAAAAGATGTTACAAATTTTTTTCTTTGTGCCTATTTATCAAATTATGCAGTTCACCTTTGTTGTCATTCTTTGTTATTACAACGTGAGAAGGAAATTTAAGACTATATTTTTTATCATAATAAGCACTGAAACATTGCAAAATGTACAGATAAAGCACGTATTTGCAGAGTAGTCCCCTAAAATTCTTAACGCACCAATGCTTGGGCTTGGCCATTAAATGAAATACGTTTTGTTATGAATCTTTAGTTAGCATAATACCTTCCCCCAGCTGGTACTTTCTTCTTTCTCATTCTATGATTCTTTCAGACTAATATTATGCGTTTGTGTAGTATCTATTAGTATACCACCATTCTCTCAGTATTTTCTTGTCACCCATTACAATGTTTTCATAATCAGTTTTATGTGAAAGTTTAGTATTATTGCTGACTCTTTGACTTGCGATATCAGGAACTGGAGTGTATATTACCTATCCAGACTTCAAATCTCACGCCTGCAGTGCAATTCTGTAAAAGTATCACTTCCAAAGTTGGCAGCTATTTTTTTAGACATTACTTTAATGAAGCATATTTGACATTTGTCAAAAATCAAAATCATCATCATCCGCCGATGGATTTCCATACACAACGATCCTGTGCTTTTCTCATCCAGTGGGTTCCAAATCGCTTGATGTAGTCAGTCCACCTGGTGAGGTGTCTACCGACACTGCGCTTCCCGGTGCTAGGTCGCCATTCAAGCACCTTGGGACCCCAACGTCCATCGGTTCGCCGAGCTATGTGCCCCGCCTATTGCATAGCTATGAAAATTAGAATTAGCATTGTGATCGTTGAGCTATGCCGGTTATTCTAGTTCTACTACGGATTTCCTTATTTCTATCTCGATCACGTAAGAAACACCGAGCATATTTCTCTCCATAGCTCGCTGTGCGACTCTGAGTTTGTGTTGATCTTCGAGAATCGACATGCTCCTTCAATGTTAGTCAGAACCCAAAATTACTACAAAATAATCAGCTTCAACCTCCTGTAAGGTAGGTGTTTCCAATTCAAGCAGTTATGTCCAATGCTTCATGGGTTTTTTATTTGTCTACTTTTAGTCGGCCTTCACTTATCTACCTTATTTATCATAAATATGTCATCAGGGTTCACCTGATTTTGCCTTTACATTCCTATCCTGTTTAATCATCGAAAAGTGTTGTTTCGTCATCTACGTCATACATATCTCCTAATAACTCGTCAAATCCCTTTCACCGATCCTTGACATTTAGCAAACCTGGGGACTTAGAAAAGTGTCATATTTTCCTTTTTAAACTAACTCCTCGAACTTACTGATTTTATGGCATTATATGATATCAAGTTGAGTTTAAAAAAAATGTTGCCAAAGTGCAGTCCCTTGTATTGGGTATCTCTATTGTGTAATAAATATGCTATTTCTTCTTTCCAATGTTCAAATACTTGTAAAGGTATTCATTTGATATTGTGGGTTACCTGCAATGCGAAGAGATGGTGCTGCCTTGAAACAAGCAGCCTAAGAAATACTAGAGAAAATTAGACAATACTATTAGGGCCGAGCTAGCATAATGGTCAGTGCATCCGCTCGGTTAGCGGAGAGTGCGGGCTCGAGCCCCGTCTGCTGTCTGGTTGGCCTGCATGGATTTTTTTCTAGTATTTTCTTTGGATTTAATTAAATTAATTAGCAGTTCAATGGTAAAAAAATATAGATGACCATTAATTATTATCACTTATTATCCAGATGGCATAACATAAAACTTTTGTTTTGTCAATTTAGATTTTTAGACATAGAGTTTACCAAATTTAGTTTTAAAGAAATGTTCGCGTATTTTCATATAAATCACGATTTTGATTTGAAGTTGTAAGTTAACTTAGCTATCGAAATGGCATTCATAAGGTACTTATGACAGTTGGTTCAGGAATGACTAACCGAATTATTATTTACTAAAATATATTTAGGTATATCCTGATACCGCTGTTTCAGGGCATAGTAATCAGCAACACTATCATATTAAATTATTCATTTTCTTTAATTTAGATTGTTGCTTAGAAATTTGCATAAATTCACAGAGATGTTAAGTATAGCATAGCCAAAGATAAAACAGGATGAACACATCTCTGGATTGGAAAACGTATTTCTGCCGAATTACCATGCATGCAGAGACGGTTCTAAATAGAACAAAATGTTTAGACAAAGAAATCCATCCTATCTAATGGAATGGAATTTTAAGTGTGGGCCTGTGATGTCTGTAGCCACTCATAAAAATCGTTGAGAACATGCCGGCAATAAAACTAACGATGGCACATAGGCGTACAAACAGACAAACTAATCCCTGTATGGATCCAACCTATTAGCAGCACTTTGAATTGTTGAAACGTGACAGCGAAATATTATTGCCTTTATTACTAATACTAACCTTTTGGAGTTCCGAATTTATTCGCCGGGCTGGGGGAGGGTCAGACGCCGTTTAAACTGTGATAACAACCAACAGCGTGCTTTTTTTTATTGATATGTGATGTTTATAATTGTGTGTGTATGGTCACGCGGCCGCGTTTCGTTTCACGTGCTCGCGGCTCGAGACGCAGCCAGCGCGGCGCGCAATCACGGACTGTGGAAAAGTGGAAATCCGATGTTCGGTCGAGTTCGGTCGACGGCAGGTGGCGCGCCGCGCATGCGCGCCAGCCAAGGTCATGCGCGCGAGAAACAGACAACCGCTGAACCGCCAACGCTGCGATGCGAACTATTTTCTGCGGATGGTTGATGATGAAAAATGCTCGCAGCATGTTGATGCAGCGGCCATTCATGAGTTCAGGCGGATGTACGTAAATTATATTCGCTCCAAAGTAAGCAAAGCTTGTACAATGGACACCAAGTAACGTATTTAATACATATTGTGTACACAACCGCTGTACCACCAACGCTGCGATGCTAACTATTTTTTGCGGATGGTTGATGATGAAATCTGGTCGCAGTATATTGATGCAGCGGCCATTCATGAGTTCAGGCGGATGTACGTAAGTTATATTTGCTCCAAAGTAAGCAAAGCTTGTACAATGGACACTAAGTAACGTGTTTAATACATAATATTAGTAAATAAACAACCAGAAAGAGGGAATATTTTTGTCCTCATCATTCAAATATATTTTATTTGAGTAATGGGGAAATTTTTATTTTAATTATTATTTTGAATTTTTTCCCTTGAGGGATTCGAACCCAGAACCTTTTAAAGAAAGAGACTGCTGCCGTTACATCAAACTAGGGTTATAACTTTTTTCTGTCAAATATAGTATTTTCGAAGCTGTTACCTCTAACAATATAGTAAATGACAAAATATGTAAAAAAATATTGACTTTATTTCCAAATGAGTATATTTTTGTTGCTCTATACCTTAATACTTCAGTTTTTATTTAAAGAAAGCTTTTACTGGAAAATGTCTGCTTTAAGCAAAATATTTTAGTATCGCCTACTATATATATTTTTGGAAGTATAATGTTTGATCCGCTAAGATAGTAGGGTATATAGAAATGTTGAAGAATAACTCGTAAATACTAGAAATACCTACTAATATTAAGAGGAAATCAATAAATTATATACCTAAATAGGTACTTAACTAATTCGTTTAGAAAAAAATTATGCAAAGTACAGTGCAATTCAAACAATTTAACTGAAAGCTGTGAAGTTAGTGAAAGTTGCGGCACAATAAATGAAAAATGTAGGATTGATATAAATGCGTGCAGGATTATGTAACTGAACTGAAACCTCTGTTTTGTGCTTGCCCTTAGTTGCGACTGCTGCTAACTTCACAACCGCCATAAACTTTAAATTGCTATATGCATTTGTTTAATGCAGCCGATAGGTATTTGCAAAATTTTCTTAAGTACCAAAATCAACGTTTGGTAAAGGACATCAGAACAATTTTTTTTTATAAAACTTATGACATAATACACTACAGTGCCTATGTTTGTAAAAACAAATAATTCCTGATGTTATAGCATTATTATACTGAAAGATGAATATTTGATATGTTTATATTTATTTTTTGGTCGTATTAAAATTTTCTTTAAAAAAATACTAGATAATGTTAGGTAAGGTTAACATTTGTATTTTTTCCTATGCATTTACATTGTAGATATCTTAAAAATAGTTAAACTTTATTTTATTTTTCTACTGTATTTCTACTGAATTTGCCTATTCAAAAATGTATTTTTTCCTCTGACTTTTACTGAATATCTGTTTCCAGTCAATTTATGGAAAATTTATAGCTACATACTACTTTATATATCAGTGGAAAGTTATAAAGAAAAATAAACATATTTCTTTAAACAATTCTTTAATAAACGAATAAAGAACGAAAATATAATTACCAATATGGTACAAGAGTTATGAGCTGCGTGCTTAACGTTCGGATTCGACTTTTGGATTCCTAAAAATACACAAATAAACGAAAATATTTTACAAACTCCAATACTTATAGGTACGCAAGTTCTTCAATTCAAGTTCAATAATGTAGATAAGTTACAAGTAGAAATCGCTCAGTCTTACTAAAAATATTTTTTACTTTCTACCATGATTTCATTTATCAAAAGTATGCCAAAGGAGCGGGAATAACAAATCGTCAGTATAATTTCAACATAACTAAGGTCTAAATAAATTCTATACAAAAGTGATTAAAACCAAAATTTTGCGATCAATCAAAAATATATCGAAAATTGTTAACTTATCAAAAGTATCGCCTACTTACCTTAAGCAACGTAAGCAACACTCAATTAAATAAATAACTATAAGTTAATCAGATAATATCTACTTAGCATTTTTAATACTAAAAAACAAAAATATTGACAACAGATCTCACTTAACTAAACTTTAAGCTAATTATTTATATCATGATAGCCTATGAACTGTGATAACGATTGTCAACAAAAAATAAATATCAATAAAAAATATCATCAACAAAATAAAATAGGTATCTACACAAATCAGCAACAGTGCAAACCGAAATAACAAATAATAGCAAATATGGGCCAGCCATTATTTGAATCTTTTCTTTTTTAAAAGCTTTTTCGCCGGTGGTATTTCCATGTCATGCTCATCGATGCAATGTCTTTTCAATTCGGAATATTTCCTAAACTTGGAACCGCATACCAGACAGTCCACGATCATTTTCCTAACATTGTGAATGGTCCATTCGTGGTCCCACTTTTCTTTGAGCGTTTTGAAGTACTGGTGACAAAATCTGCACCTGAATCTGTTAGCCATCTCCTTAGTATGGGCGCATTTTATATGTTTATTGAGCATTGATTCGAAATAGAAAACCTTGTCACAGTAGTGGCAAGTCACAGGAGAGTTGTTGTTGTGGTACTCCATGTGCTGTGTGATCATCTTTTTAGAATTAAACTTTCTTTGGCAGAGATCGCACTGGAGGTATGTTGTGCCGTGAATTTTCTTGTGTTTCGAGAAGTTTGAGGAGTCACTGAATGATTTATCGCAGAAGGTGCACTTGTATAGTGTGAGTTTGGCGTGTTCGCGTAGGTGTGCTTTGTACCTGTCTACTCTAGTGAATGTTTCTGATTGGCAGACCTCGCACTGTATGTTGAGGGTGCCGTTCTTGTTGACAGGTGTCTTGGCGAGGGTGCTGCGGATGATGTGCTCGATTAAGTGCCTTTTCAGGTCTCCTACTCGGTCGAACATTTTCAGACAGACGTCACAAGCCTGAAAATTTAATAATATAAATTAGTTTTTAGTTAGAAGATAATTGAATATGTACGATCATTTAATGCAAGGGCAGCGCTGCTCCTAAATTATTCATTGAGTTCTGGTCGGGGCACTATTTATTTGGATGCTGAGTAAAAATATTTGCTTTTGAGTCAGGGTTTCTGTGATAAAATAATAGGTTTATTTTCATAGTATAAGCTCAGATAGATAGGAAAATAAAAAACCTCTTTAACAAAAATAATAACAGACTTCATAATAACAAAAGCAATAAAAAGTACGTTTAATGTCAAATTAACATTTGGTGTCGCTGCTATGCCAACCCAAGCAGTACCTAAATAGCAACTCGGTTAAATCAACATGTATGATCTAGTCTGGTCATTTATTGTCTGAGATCACTTTCTTTTTCATTTCAGCGTTGATTTCTCTATTTTACTTAGAATTTTGTACCATTTCGATTGCAAAAATCATAAATAAATATTTCCAACACTCACACCAATTAGCCTAGCCCCAAAGTAAGCACTATAAGGCTTGTATTATGGGATACTAGGGTAATGGATAGAATATATACTTTACATATATAAGTATATTTTTATAGAAATACATATTAAACATCCATGGCTGGAGTACAAATGCTCGTATTTATCACACAAACATCTGCCCCCACCGGGATTTGAACCCGGGACCTCTCGAGTCGGCGACACCATGAAACCCGGCAAAGTACAAACCACTCGGCCATGGAGGTCGTCAAAGTACAACCATGTGCAAGTTATTATTATAACTTGCAAGTTAACTTTCATACAACTCTTTTTAATGAACCAATTGGAAAGTTGGGAAAACAGAGTGAAAAAATAAACATTCAAACAGTTATTCAGCCACTTAACCCAGATAGCATTTTTTCATGTAAAATTATTTATTTTTATGGACTGGCATTCCTTCTACTTAATAAGATTGATTCAAGAAACGAAAACAATTGATAAAAAAAATGTACTTTTAAGAAAAAGTTCAAAGAAAAATATTTTGAAAACGGTTAACTTTTCGACAGTAGGTCAAAGGGTCAAATCTATCAAAGACTTAAATTGTAATGTCTAAGTTATATATATGATCTAGGTCGAATCTTCCCGTAAAGCCCTCAAGGATAGTGAAAAACTAGAGGAGGATCGAGAAACTACTCGAATCCTCCGCCAGCTCGTCACTCAACTCCATCCTCGACGGGACAAATACGGGAGTCTAAGTGGGACGAATTACTTGAAGTGATCTCGCCATCACACCAAACTTATTGGAAGCTGGCCAGATCCTTCAAGACAGAGGTCGAGTCCTCTATGCCTGGAGGCGGAGTGCCTCGCCTAGCACTCTCCTTTTCTCCTCGAACACGTCCAGTTAGTCGACTCGGAAGTCGAGAAGTCTCCTCCTTATAGGTATATAAATAAGTAGGTACCTTCATAAGCGAGAATCAAAATACGTTGCACAAAAACTCCATCCAAGAATATGAGTTTCTACCATTCTGTACTACCTACGTATCACAAAAAAAGTTAAGTTGTAAAAAAATTTAGTCATGAATAACATTTGTTTACCTTTGACCCACGGAAATGACATTTCGTTGACCGGATGACCGGGTTATATGGTATTCTGTGTAACTACATTCTGGTCGTTCGCGGGTATCCATATCCATACTAATATTATAAATGGGAAAGTGTGTTTGTTTGTTTGTTTGTTTGTTTGTCTTCTCTTCACGCCTAAACCGCTGAACCGATTGTGTTGAAATTTGGTAAATGTATAGCTTGAACTTATGAGCCTGCTATAGGCTACTTTTTTTTAATTTATATATTCGAATTTACATAATTTTCAACTAAATTAATCATTTTCATGGTTGGTCCCGATAGAGATGGCGCTACTGTCACGAAGACAGATTAAATTTGAAATGTGGAAGTTGCTATCTTAACTTAATAATACGAGATGGCACCACTCGTGTTCAATACCGAGTATTTTGTGTCAGTGTTTCATTTATTAAATCGAGGTAATTTTACGCAATTTCTTTCTCATCTTATTTTTAAAATTAAATCTAGCAAATACTACTCCAAATTTATAATATAAAAATATCATTTTCGAGTGATTATAGATAGAGATGGCGCTACCATCTCGAATACCAACTCAACCGAGTAGTCTCTCTTGAAATAATATTTTCTGAGTAACTTATCAGATGGCACCACCCGTCTTTAATATCGAGAATTTTTAATTGCTAAAAATGTGAGTTCTGATATTGCGTTTTTTCAGATCGCGCTATTTATGAACATGACTTTTTAATATTTATTGTTAACTAGCTGTTACCCGCGGCTACGCTCGCGTGGTTTTCCTATTTGAGGCTATCATCCTCTTTTGACATAGTGAGTAAAAAAGTAGCTTATAGCAACCCAAAGCTTCAACCTATTAGTGCAGTCATTGAAGCGAAAAATACGGTCTTACCTCCGAATTTTTTTACTGTGAACCGTTTTGCATGAAATTTTGGAATTAGGCTCACCTTACCCTTAACTTCAAAAGTGAAAATGATCTGAACTCCGCCTATTATTTTTAAGGGGTGTAAACAACCCCTTAATGGAAAAATTGACATTGAGCCATTTCAGCAGGTAAGCAACAGCAATCAGTAGGTACCTACCTACCTTGATTGATTTTAAAGAAATACGATTTACCAAGGTACCATATCTGTTTTTGTTTTCCTTTGTGATTTGGTTTTGTTGTGCATTAAGTGAATTAGTTAGGTATTTTGGTAGTTTCTTCGAATGTATAAAATTGACTCACTGATAAAAATTATGGAAAAACACATAACATCGTGTACAGTAGCGTACTTAAATAGTACTGCTATGTGTTTAAAATAATTAAACCCTTATTCTAATAATACTAATGCTTTTACATTTTGAAGTGTTATTACGTACTATCCATAGTAGTATTAGGTGTTATTATGAGAGTGTTTGTTTTGTTTATCCTTCCTCGAAGCCTAAACCACTTTGAAATTTGGTAAGTATATATAGTGCAGTCATTGAAGCATTATTACTCCGAATTTTTTTACTGTGAACCGAATTGCATACAATTTTGGAATTAGGTTCATCTTACCCTTAACTTCATAAGTGAAAATGATGGTTGTCACCCCTTCTGGGGGGTGATTTTTTTTTTCAAAATAAGTATTGTAATAAATTTTAAGCAAAAAATCATCTATAAAGTTTTTCAAAAAATCCAATACTTTTCAAGTTATTGGCAATTGAAAACTCGAATTTTTTCCCCGTTTTTCATCGGTTTTTTGCAAATATCTCCAAAAATGTAAGTTTCATTGAAAATTTTATAAAGAACAAAATTGTAGCAGGTAAAACAATGAACAATTTGGTTTTTTTATAGAGTATTCTAAGTGCAATATTAAGCTAGATATCAAAGATCAAAGCCGTTTTTTATTTTGTCTGAAATTTAATCGATGTGGTCAATGCCATCTAGCGGCGAGCAGATGCATTTTATGCATTCTAATACAAAATCTTTTTATGTCATACCAAAGTATTTTTTTGTGATTTTTTCAATTTAGGGGTTGTATGCAAGGGTTGTAAGATTTTCAAGGGGTTGAAAATGATTTTAATATGGGGTAATTTATTTTAGAAAAAAATTATGTTAGAAAATACTTTACAATTTCATCACTTACTATTAAACATGTTTTCTAGCTATAAAATGGCTCAATGTCAATTTTTCCATTAAGGGGTTGTTTACACCCCTTAAAAATAATAGGTGGAGTTCAGATCATTTTCACTTTTGAAGTTAAGGGTAAGGTGAGCCTAATTCCAAAATTTCATGCAAAACGGTTCACAGTAAAAAAATTCGGATTTAAGACCGTATTTTTCGCTTCAATGACTGCACTAATAGGTTGAAGCTTTGGGTTGCTATAAGCTACTTTTTTACTCACTATGTCAAAAGAGGATGATAGCCTCAAATAGGAAAACCACGCGAGCGTAGCCGCGGGTAACAGCTAGTAAGGAATAATATGTTAATGTTTAGAAATAATGTTTTTCAAATAATGAAATATAAAAAAATATAATATATTTTTTGAAAAAGATTTTTTTTGTGATCGTATGAGTATGTCCCATAATAAACTTTCTGTCGTCGAGCAAGGTATTCAACGGCTTTCTTTCTGATGAAAGCATAATAAGGAAAAATACATAAAAAACATACCTTATTATACCTACTCTGTCTTCTAGCTTTCTTCGAGTGCAAAAGAAATATTTTGTTAGACATAACTTTCGCTATGACAGAGTCTGCTTTCTGTATTTCTTCATCTTTGGAGTACGAACATGACGCGTCGTTTTTCACGTCATGCCCTTCGGGGGAGGGCGTTATAATATCTGTGTCACTGATATCTTCCATGATACCGTCATCAGTACAGAGCATACTCCTTTGATCATCAATCATAGAATTTTCGACGCCTTCATCATCTTTATTGTGAATCAATTCATGCGCAACCAGTTCCGAATATTTGTTCGTGATAAAATCACAATTCTCGCACAAAAACACGAAGTGTATCTTCGCCGAGTGCTCCCGCAAATCTTCGGCGTCGGAGTAAGACTTGGAGCAGTAGTTGCACACGTATTTGCGATTGTGGATCTTGCGGTGGGTGCGCAAGGTAAACTTTGATGCGAACACTTTGTGGCACTTGTTGCATTCTAGATCTGGGTCGCCGTGGCCCATGCAGTGGATCTCGAACTTCTCTTGGCTCTTCAGGTTCTTGCCACATTCGGTGCACATGAACTTCATATCGCCGACGGATGAGGAGTTTGTGTCGTTGGATATAGAAGACCTCGGCGTTCTATGGTTGCCCACCATGTGTTGCTTGAATGTGGATATTTGTTCGAATATTTGCTTGCATTTGTCGCATTGGTACTTTTTCTGGTGCGGGTTCGAGAAGGTCGCTTCGTCTGCAAGAAGCAAAATTTATGTAATAAAAAAATTTTGCTTGCTTACTTGCTTACTGATTTAGTGATAAAAAAACAGGCGAGTCATCCTAACTTGTTTATTTTTATTAATTTTACTTCTATACGTGCTAATCGTTTAATGGTTTTGGAGTGTGTTTAGATATTAACATAATTCTTGATATTTCAGATACTTAAAAGGCTCCGTGGTGACAAGGATCAGAAAAAAAGATTTAAAAGAATATAACTCAGTAAATAAAAATCTACTAAACACGGACCAGTTTTGAATTTTCTCTATAGCAAGTGTTTGTATTAAAAATATACTCTTACTTTGCCATTTGTCACATCTTATGAAAGGGTAGTAAAGTAAAGATAATGATTTGAAAAAAAAACAAGGACATCTCGTTAGTTTAAATAACATCTAGCAGTATTAAATAAAACTATTTTTAAACAGGTTTTGGAGTCAGCCTTTTATAAGTTCTGTGGAATACGTGAACAAGAAACCAAACACGTTTTTTTTTTAATTAATGATGAATTTTTTTTTTATTTAAGTGACCTGCCCTCGCTTCGCTTGGGTGTAGAGCTGTAGTGTAGACTATAGTTTTTGTTTAAAGGCTTGTATTGTACACAATGACTTTCTTCTTAATAATTATAAACCATCTATTTCAATTCAAAAAAATGTTGCGTAGTTTAGGACCCGTGTATGAATGCACCATTGCTCTGCTATTCCAATTTGACAAATTATTTTTGTATTGGATAGTGCAGTTATCAAGGAAGGCTTTAGGCTATATATCAGGCGACCAGTAGCAAAAACGGGTAAAAATATTCCATTTGTGAGATTCCGTTGCGTGCGCTTTGTAAACGGTTATAGTTACACAAAAATCATGTATAATGGAATTGTTCCCCTTTAAAAGTTCTGTAAAAAGTCTGCGACAATATATGAACCCATAATTTAAGTTTGACTCACTATAACCTTATTCCTCAAATTAACGCGGATGTAACCGCAGGGGACCTCTAGTTGTAAAATAACTGTGATAGTTAGACATATGGTTTTGGGGACTTTTTTGTAGATATTCATCTCCTCTATAAAAATTTAGTACATCACTTTGCTCTCTTGCCAATGACTTCAGCAGCGTACGCGATATAAGGTTATTTCTTGGTATTTTTTACACACGTTGGCTTACATTATCGAAGTTTTCATACGGAACCCTAACTTTTTTTAAATACACCATAGCCTATGTTTATCACGGATAATGAAGGACTCTAAATATGAAAGAATTTTTCGAATCGGTTTAGTAGTTTCGGAGCCCATTCAATACAAACAAATAATCAAATATTTCCTGTTTATTATATAAGTATAGATTACTGAACGTGAAAAGATAAGAAATAAAACTCACTAATTTTATAAATGTGAAAGTTTGTATGTTTGTGGTAACGTGAAAGTTTTTATGTTTGTGAGTGATTGAGTACAACCATTAAAAATCTACTAAACGGATTTAGATGAAATTTGGTGCACATATAGTTAGGATCTGGATTGAGACATAGAATACTATTTATCCCGGAAAAGTGTCACTTGAGGATATCAAAAAACTAAAGTTAACGCGGTCGAAGTCGTGGGCCGACTTACTTAAATAATTTTTAAATATCGGTCAGCATACTCCACCACTTAACTTAAATTTATTTACAAATGTTTATCAGTCCTTAAAACCCATTTTATTTATTGCTATTTCTTATTGTTGCGTTCACAGAAATATTTTTTTTGTGAGAAGGAATAAGACGGCGTGCTAAATTGATTGAACTTACCTCAATTTTATCTAATAATTATATGTTAGACTTTATAAATAAAAAAAAACATTATTGAAGCTAATTTGTTACTACACTGAAAAGGACAAATTTTCATAAATTTTATAATAATATTTAAAATTCATCGACTAAACCCATCGAAATGTTTCGTGTTTTTTTGCCATCAATTACCTACATCAACCGCAAGTTTAACTTGCAAACGGAATCATAATAGCGGACACTTTGAAAATCTGGCAACTTCACTTATCATCATCATCATCAGCCTATCAATGTTCCCACTGCTGGGGCACAGGCCTTCCCTATGGATGGAATAGGGAGATTGGGCCATGACTCACCACGCGGGCCTAGTGTGGATTGGTGGGTGCTAACGACTGCAGATGCAGCCGGGACCAACGGCTTAACGTGCCTTCCGAAGTACGAAGGAGCTCGAGATAGTAATTTTTGGTCACCCATCCAATAACCGACCACTGCGAAAGTTGCTTAAGTTCAACGATCGCAGCCGAACGCGCTAACCACTTGCGCCATCGAGCTCCTCAATTTCACTTATATCAACTTCACTTATTTCAAAATTATGTTGTAAACTCATGAATTCCGAAAACACTTGTTTTGGCAGTCTACAAAAAAAGTGGTTTAGTATTTATACTTTGGAAATAGCAGACTAGGTAAAAACATAGGAAAGTTTAGTTACAATTTGTAATTATATTATAAAGGACACTTACCAATAATAACTTCGTGATCTATTTCTCCACCGCCGGAGCATACAAGCGAGGGGTCATTGACCGCAATTTTTTGTATTGTCTGTCCACAGTGCGAATCATGGCCCAGGAACAAAATGGTCTTTCTCTGCTTCGAAACCGACTGAATATCTGAGGACATCAGCTGTTTCAGCGCCTCATTTTCGCTTTGCAGCCCTATGTACTTTCTTTCCTCCCTCGCTCTAGTTTCCTTCTCATTCAGAATCTCCTCAGGCAGCTGTGAAAGAAACACGCCACACTCAAATTCGTCCTCCTCGTAAAAGTTCAGATTATTCTGATCCGAAGGGTTTTGCTGCGGCGTTGCGCCAGGCTCAGGAGCCGGTAATTTCTTAACCTTCTTTTGTTCGCAATCATCAAGAGACGAGTATTGTACGGACTCTTTATAATTATAGACGTTTTGAGTTATGTATGTGTTATGTTGCTCGACTGTTATGTGAGCTGAATGCGTTTGATGGCACACGGAGTACTCTTGAGTCTCAGCAGCGGCATCGTAAGAATTGTAAACGAAGGGGCTCCTCACAGGATCTATCCATACGTGCGACTGATTATAAGTTGAGCTCGGCACCTGATTACCGATTTCTATGGCAGCTGGTTCGTTTTCAATAAAACTAGAAGATACAGCATCTATATTCAGCGGTTCCACTTGTTGGATGTTAACATCGTAACTATCTATAAGTTTCACGTTACAGAAACCATTGTATATGCACATCTCATTTCCCTCCGTGTCAGGCGAAGTGATGTTCAGATCAATAAACACGTTATCAGTCACCGCACAGTTGGTCTCCAAAGTTGTGCAACGCTTCGGTATAAGCAACACCGGGTACAACACATTTGAATCCGAATTAACAAACGACTGTTCCATCTTTCAAAAATAATTCTGAAATAACAAAGAGTAGACATGTTTATATTCGATGTTTGAGTGTTATTGAAAATGACGGTAAATAAAAAGAAATATTTCATAAAATACCATCGGGAATTGAGAGGAAAATAACTTACCACGCGCCGCGGTGGTGGTTCGACAGAAAAGGTTTAAGAAAATGTAGGTATCGAAGGTGCTCGCAGAAAAATTGGTAAATGCTAGGTCATGACTACCCTCCGATTAAAACATATCACCGTCATTGAATTTTCATAACAATGCAATTTGTATATATAATATGTATATTATAAAAACTTAAATAAAATAACATTATAGAAGAATGTTTACTAGATGTAACTACGCACTCATATAGGGATTTTGAAAAAAGAACACTATTAATGCTTTTCGATATTGTCCGAATCGTTGCCGATGATTGTTGGAATGAAATTTTACCTACTTTGTAAATTTTACTACAAGTGGACCAAAGGGCAATGTTAAAATTGGCCTAAGAACCAACACCAATTTGGCTTTTATGAGAATTCTTAGTATATTTTTTGCGATAATTATCAGTATTTAGATTGTGACGGACACTTCCAGTTAAGTAAGCTAAATTAAAAAGTAAAAAAATAATCTGAGACAATAAATACCATTTTATGTGTATAATCTATGGCAGCGCTGCAAACAAAACACATTTTCTTCCTAATGCCGGCACTTCACTTGGCTATTCGTATTTGCTATTTTAATGCATGACATCAGTCTGACCTTTTCATTCCTTATTACGCATGACAAGGACAAACTGTTGTTAAGTGAAGGGCCGGCATAAAACTCGTTGGTCTGTGGTTGTGGTGCATGCAGTTTGCATTCGTAGTAATCTGTGGCATTCGTGCATTCCAAAGAGTAGTTTATTATACCGGAAAGTGCATTCTCGTTTCGGATTACCTGTTGTGTGTGTTTATTTGCGATTGTTTTTCCTTGAATTTAACTATTTCGGCTATCTAATATGCCATCGATGTTACCAAAGAGCAGAGCCCTTATTACCAAGTACTAATGAACCTGTGCCACAACATCCTGAGAGTATCATACTGCCAAATTATTCAAGAACACCTGATACACATTCACGCTGCATATTTTCACAATATTCGTGTGATAAACAAATAAATACAATAAACAATATGATACAAATTTTCCTAATAGTTATTCTTTAAAAAAGAAAATGAATTAGTTGTAATATTAATTCACTTCAAACTGAGTTCATACTAAATTCATAGGTTGACCTATGTTTCATTGAATATTAAACATAACCTCAAAAAAAATTGTTTTCCTAATAATTGAAGTTCTCAGAAGTGTCCGTCAATAATCTTTGTTTTTACAGTCATTTACTTACGATTTTGAACTTGGAAAATAATATTTCATGATTGTTGGTTCTTAGGCTAACTATGTATGGACGCTGAACAATGTCCTTTGCTAAAACTACATTCAACTAATATTACTTTATTAAAGTCAGAACCATAGAAACATGTCATAAATATGAATCGAATTTTAGTTATATTGAGATTTAACAAAATTGTTGTAAGTGGATTTAAACTTTGTATAAATTCTTGATTGAAATATAAATGTTAAGCAAAACTAAATGGGCGCTTTTGTAATTTCGTTCTTCGACTTATACATATTAAGGTATTTTATGATATCGCATTAGATTGCTATATTTAATAAAAACTATGATAACTATAGGTACCTACATAACTTATAGTAAAGATCCGTGCCTACACACAGAAAAGTCAAAAAATCCTTTACTATTTATTTTCCGGTCATTTTATCAAAATTTTTATTAAATTTTATAATTTCGGAAAATAAATCTAATATTTTAATCACAAAAAATATTCACAGTACAGGAAATCGTTGGATTTATTTCGCCTGTAACTTTTTTACCAGCAATGTTTTCATAAATGATTAGAATGCTTTATACCCGCCATACACACTACGATAAATCGTTACGATTAGACTGTACAGTCCGAACGGTACCGATAAATCGTAGCGTGTATGTTATAAAACTGCACAGTTTCCTATACTAAACGAAATCGTATAAACTGTACCGTTCGAACTGTACAGTCTGATCGTAACGATTTTTCGTAGTGTGTATGGCGGGTATTAGATTGTTATAGGAGATGCTCGATATCACATAATTAGTAAACGATTCCGGTCTGCGATTGTAGAAGCTAAGCAATTTTCACAACGGCCAGTATTAGGATCGGTGACCAAAAATTTATTCTCAGTGCTTTGGATGATGATTAGTACAAAACATGTGAATGACCGGAATAGGAAAACTGGAGTTTGGGTTCAAATCCTTCTAGGAATATGAATAAATTGTCTGTATGACGAACATTAATGCAGTACATTACAACAGCTGCCAGCAAATAGGCATTGATGGACGAACGTTTAAGTCCATCAATGCCTTGTTGTTGCCAAGGCTTGCATAACAGTAAGTACTTTTCTCAAATAATGAACGGAAATGAAAAATCATTTTTCAAAATCAATGACGAACAACAATATTTTTTCTCGTGGAAAATTGTTCATTTGTTTTTTTTAATAAACAGCTTTCTATTTGCAAGCCAGTCCGAAATTTTAATAAAAAACCTTGTTATTGTTGATAAGTCCTTGGCTGTCATGTTTTGGAATAAAATAATGTTCCAAGTTTATATTACACGACGGATACTTATGAATTTACTATGTAATTTATTTGGCCGCTAAACCACGACAGATTTTTATACAACTTTTGCCGGCGGCTGGTGTATTTGGCTAGTCCAGCAATTGGATTTGGATTTATCTCAAAAAAGGTTGTCAAATAAAGCTCAAATTTTAGAGCATGCTTGAGATATAGTACAGTACTGCAGCGACCAGCAAAAGAGGTATTGATAGCCGAACGTGTAAGTCCACCAATGCCTAGTTGTGGTCAGGACTTGTATAGTAATTTTCTCAAATAATGCGCGGAAATTAAAATTAAGTAGTACGTAGGCAGAACTTTTGTCAAAGGTTATATTCTAATTTCGAACTGACTTGCAAATAGAAAGCTGTTTATATAAATGAAAACAAATGAATGAGTGTTGAGTTGTTGAAAATAAGTGAAAACAAATGAATGAGTGTTGATGTTCGTTTTTCAACATTGATTTTGTAGACGTTCTGTTTCGGAGTAAAAGAATGTTCCAATTTTAAATTACACGACAGATTATTATGAGTTTAGTATATAATTTATTTGGCAATTAAACCACGACAGATATAGATTCTCATACAACTTTTGCTGTTGCTCGCCAGTGGCGTAGCGTGCCTTGGCGGGGCCTCGTATAAACAATTGTTTGGGGACCCTTAGGATGGGGTAAAGATTTCTCACAAAAGAATCCCTCATTCTCCTGAGTACTTGAAATGCAAGTTTCAGTATCTCTGTGATAGTCACGATCGTCCTCTCCGCTCTGCTGATTCATTAGCTCTCTATATTCCTCTTTCTCATTCCAGCTATGTGTCCAACTCCTTTACTCTTCAAGCCATACGACTGTCGAATGACCTTCCCGACTCCATCAGAAGATCTCCTAGTAAACTTATATTTAAAAGGAATGTTCACGCTCATATGTTGCAAAACTTAAGATGAAGTGTCATTTTATTAATCATCATCTTGTGTATATGTATACTGTATATATTTAAATATTAGTGTGTTATGTTTGTATGTATTATATTCTTTTTATAGTACGTATTTATGTATGTATCTATGTTTATTTGTATATATATTCGTATTTAGCTTTATGCCGCCGCCGTTCGTGTTTTTCATTTTTCCCAAAGGTTGACTGGGAGAGAATGCTTTTAGCATTAAGTCCGCCTTTTGCACCAATGTTAAATATTTTGGTCAATAAAGCTTAAAAAAAAAATGTCTGCATAAAATTAAAAGAAATAAGTATTCATCATAATTATCTATCTGTCACATTTCCAAATTTTTTACAAACAACTCAAATTAAATACCTATACACTTTCCTTGCCTTTCTTTCGGCTAACTGATTTATTAAATCATTTATAACTGATAATGACTTTAATTTATAAGTAAAGCTTCCAAAGACAATAGCGATTAGTCTGACGGGCGTTCATGTCCCATCGAAGTTCTTAGTTGTGTACCCAAAGTTGACGTCACACAGTTGACGTCATCGAACCGAGCGTTATGGCGGTAAATTTGAAAACCATTAAAAATAAATTCAACTTTAATTGGTTTAATGGAGAAAAAATATATTAATTTATTAATATTTATTTTTTTGTTAAATCGTTTGTTCCTGTCTTTAAATATAAGCAGCTTTCAAAAATTAAAAAAAATACCCTATTCTATAGTAATTACAGAACTTTTAATTTTTACCACAGAATGTCCGTTTACTATGATTAATTGCCAATAAAGTAAAAAAAAATGGATGCGTGTAACTTACGATGCGCGTGAGAAGTTATACTTCTTTAGCATCATTAAAAATATTTTTTAATTACATGCAAATAATTAATAATTACAATAAAATAATAAAAGGACTGGAAAAGGATAGTTAACACAGTCAATTAAGTTCAGTTTTAATTTGAAAAATTAAATAAATATTCAAAATATTCAATTAAAATCACTACTGAATTTAAGTTATTAGTCCATATGTAATTAGCACTTGTAAGTAACTAAAACACGTTGTGTCTATATAGAAACTAGAAACATGTGGATAAATATTATAAATATGAAAACAGTGATCAGAGGCGACGAGCGTGCCAACATTGTTTTTGACAACGCGATCATCTTATGGAGCTCCGTGGATCGTTCAAAGTACCTTTCGAACAGATAACCACTTAGTGGTTAATAATCCACCATTATTTTTGTAACACCATAGTATTAAATATCATCACGCCGCCCGTTACTAGATGGCGCTGTACGCATGTGAATCGCGTTATCCTATACCGACACCGATTGTATGGCACATCATAGGATCAAATATCATCACGCCGACCGCTACTAGATCGCGCTGTACGCATGTGAATCGTGCTATACTATACTGACACCACTTGTATAAGGTTGTCTTGGGAAATTGACCAAGTCATCGCTTCGTAGGTAGGGCCTATTGTCTTGCACTATAGCGCGCTTCCGCCACGTGGGACGTCTTAGTGTCTTGATAATAGTATACATGTACTTCCACCCTTGTGGGATACAGTAATACCATTTCTCCTACAAATATTGAATAGTAATCACAATATAAGTATTTTCTACCTACGCCTATCTTTATTTGACGTCAGTCTTCTCACACTCCCCCTTCGCCCTCCCGCACATTCTTACAGTTTTATTAAATAATAAATATTATAAATATGAAAACAGTGATCAGAGGCGACGAGCGTCCCAACATGTGCGTCTAAGAGATCCTATTACTATTTTGTTGGAAGCTTTTTTTCGAGACTTACGAGTAATGTGCGGTTTAGCGGCCGACTTCATGGTGTTACTTTTCTGTTACAGTGTTGCGCGCATCTTAAAATTTCACTCTCATCATTTTTTCATAACGCGCCCGCGGCTAACTTCATTATGTTACTTTTGTGTTACAGTGATGCGCGCGCATCTTAAAATTTCACTCTCATAATTTTTTCATAACGCGGCTAAAGAAGTATAACTTCAAAAATAATAGTGTAAGGAAATTCGCTTGTGCATGCTGGGGCAGACTTCGACGATGTCCTTTCCATGCATGTTTGAGAAAAAGTGCTTAATATTATCCGACCATGGACTAGAATATATATTCAGTCCATGGTTTAGCACTAAATAATACTACAGGCATCATAAAGAAAAAATAAGCAGAATAGCATCCGTGCTGGACTGGGAGCGAACGAATAAACTAAAAATGTGCCAGTGCAGATGTAAAAGTTACGAAGCAAATACAAACTTATATTGATAGGCAGTTCATTAATCGAAACTGTTGTGTAGTCGATGGTCTAGTAAGTTTTGTTTCCGGACAATATCAATAGAGCTAACCAATAATGAATGGAGCATTGCTAAGATTGGGTTACGTGATTAATGGTTTACACTATTTATGCGCAAGATGCACCTTTACGCTCTGCCAACCCCGCAAAAAATGCATAAAGGCTGGTAAAAATTAGTCGTGCAATAAAAAAAAATTAGGGTCCGTTCCTTGATTTGAATGTTTGACTTGGTGGATTTAAATGTAACTATTTGGTAAATATAGTTAAAATACTGCAGAGCAAGTAACCATTAGTCAAAGTTTTGCTCATTTTATTCAAATTTAACTATATTAAAAAGAACAGGGCCTTCAATTACGATTGATCAACTGATGGAAAAAAAAGTTTTGTGTCAGACTAGATCTAGCTCTAGACTTGAAAATCCAGCACGTCTCACATCCCCCCATTATTTTAATCAATCTGCTTTAACCTTAGATTAAATCAAAAAACCCTTTTTGTTTTAATCTAAGGCTTTAACGCATCCTTCCAAATGACTAAACAATTACTTCATCTCTCAATTTTTGCCATACCGTTCTCTGGTTTAAACATGTGTTTTCTTAATCTTGATGATAATTAAACAATCAACCATGGTTTATAACTTCCGAATATCGCCTACTTAAAACTATTTCTTGCTTCTTAACTTTCAATGTTTGAATCCGGCATTATACTAAAGTTTCATCACTTTATGTTGGGATAAACACAAGATGCCACTTGGTAGTGCAGCATGATGCTGCACTACCAAGTGGAATTATCTGCGTTTGGAATTTGGATCTCATTTAGGCCCGTATTACAGAAGGACAACTAAGTGTTGATCTTTGTGTGTGCTATATATAGCGACATCCCTTTCTAACTACGCTCAAGACTAGATCTATCACTGAGAATCTTTCTATAATACGGGCCTTCTTAGTGTCCATTGTACGATTTAAGCGACTCGACTTGTTTCGCCGAACAACGTTCCATGTACTTTTACTTTAGCTAACTAAATGTATTTTTATTACTACCCCACTACTTATAATAATAAGTAGTGGGGTAGTAATAAAAATACAAGTGGGGTAGTAATAAAAAAAAACCGTGGTTTAATATGCTTAAAACACTTTATTGCTGAGTTTTCTTTTGTTCTTTTTTGTATTGATTATTTTCAATTTCGGATTACTCTCTGGAACCAATCTTCGTAAGCGCTGACCCGCACGAACATGTCGGGAGCGCCGCGCGCGCACGGGACGCCCCATGACACGATGCCGATCTGCGTGCCGCGGTCAAGACGCACCAGTGCGCTGCCAGAGTCACCCTGAGAAATCATAACATGTATTCTATTGTGAACCAAGCTATTCCTTGAAAATATTTTTAAACATTCCTGCAACTAATGAAAACGTTGAATGAAAATAGGGCTATACATATCCCCACAACCCCCGTTTGTTTGTGCTACCTTGAGAGAATAGATAATGACATCTCCTTATTGACCTGAAACCTACGTTATTGTTTTACAGACATTGCACATGTCACCATTGCATATTTTGAAAAGGGTAATCATTCCAGAATGATCCTATGCCTGTACCGGAGAGGATAGATTACTGATGAAGCGTTCACCAACCACTAAATCCATTCAGGAATTCCATTATCCCCGTATTTTTCTTCCTCACTCAACTCCTCTCCAGTCATGGGGGCAACTTGCGCGTGGTGGGTCATGCATGGCCCAATCGTCCCATTCCACCCAGGAAGGTCTGTGGCCCTGCTGTAGGGAGATTAATAGGCAGATTATGATGATACTTACGGTACACATGCCGCGGCCAGCGCCAACGGGATGCAAGGTGCACAGCTCGATGTGGGGCTCCACCGGGGGCGAGCGCATATCATTGGCGGCTACTATACGAGCCATGTCTTCCACGCACTGAGTTCCAGAAATCGTGGGCACGTCCAACTCTAACAGCTGAGCCGACACCGATCCTTGATGCTGTGACATAATAAAAAAATACAATTTATTAAACCCGTCATTGTCATCACATTTAGGATTGGCAGAGGTAATTTTCATTCGTTACCAACGTTGCACACCTTTTTCGTTTCCTCCTCATTCATTGGATTTATCATTGGTTTTTTAATAAATATTTTTTGTCAGTGTTTATTATCCTTTAATTATATTTTCGAACTATTGATTTAAGCTACTTTCCTCCTGATCAGTTTCAGATTAGCCATGTAGCAGGACTAACAGAAGGCAGCAAAATGCTTATATATTTGTAGACAATAAAAAATAGTTTATTTGTAGTCACCAAGTTCCTAGCTATTCTCATTTCTCAATGGAAGTAAAGAATTGCAAGAAAACAAGGGCTAAAGAAATACCACAGTTGGTCACAACTACCAACTTCACAAAAAAAAAACGACGGGTTGCACTCCGGGAGTGCCGGCATAAGTTTAAACTTGAATATTAACGTTGTGCATTTTTGATATTTTGGAATGGTTAGGGAATAATTTTGCACGAATTGCTTTTACTATCAGTATAAAAGTACTATCATTTATGTGGTAGAATACAATATTTATTTATTTCGCTATCGCACACCAACATGACAATTTATATTACATTAAAAAGTTTATCTCCCAGAAAAATCAACTTCCATGAATCACATTTAAGCGCACCTAGCGACATCTATTGTAAAAAAATGCATTTTCTTCGCAATAAAGCTGCCACCTGGACGTCCTAGATAGAGACTTATTACTATAATATGATCAAATATTTGTCCATTCTTCCGTCCTTCGGAAGGCACGTTAAGCCGTTTGGTGGGTCAGTGCCTATTGTCCCTATAGACCTGTGCCCCAGCAGGCAAGAGCAGGGCATAGGTCTGATCATTTGGAACTACATTGTTTGTACTAGTCAGCTGAAATGGATTATGTATGGTTACCCTGGTCCTTCCCCAACCAGCAGCTCTGGTCTGGACATCAGCGCCGACATACTCGAAGTCTAGGAAGATGGGGCGAATGGTAGCACTGAACACGATAGGAGTGCTAGTGTAAAAGACGCCCAAGTCGTTTTTGACGGTGGCAGGCACGTAGTGCTCGTGGGTCGCGTTAGATGTGACCCTGTATAATGTACCTCCGCGGGCCCAGCGGTTCGTACCCACTATTAAACGAACACCTCTGCAAAATGCAAAAAAAATGTTAATTATCTTTCAGTCTTAATCTTAAATTTATTTCAGGTTTGATTTGAGAAAAACAACTTAAATTAGAAAATTCTCTGTGATAAGTTGCTATCCGCCGCGTATGTATATAAAAATACAATAAACTAAACAGGAAGAGAACCATAAAAAAAATATGGATAAAAAAGTAGGGAAACCTTACATTAAATCAGGAAAACCTAGTAACCTTATATTTATACTAGCTGACCCAGCGAACTTCGTACCGCCCTAAAAAAATAGGGGTTGTCCAGCGGACAAAATTGTGAATCTAAACCATTCTCAGATCCCCTTGAACACACACAAAAAATTTCATCAAAATCGGTCCAGTCGTTTAAGAGAAGTTCAGTGACATACACACTCACAGAAGAATTATATATATAAAGATATAAAAAAAAACTTATTTTTGATTATTATTTAGATTATTGAATAGGGATGATGAAAAGGTAAAGTAAACGAAATTCTATTTAGACCCTCACTTAAATTATCAAAAAATAATGCACATCTATTTTTTCTATTGTCAATCAACCAAAAAATTACAAAGATTAAGCGCGTCAAAGTTTGGGATTCCCCACTCCCATACTTTGACGCTCGACGTTCGTAACGTCTTCACTTCTAAGTAAAAATTATATCAAGACGAGTGACGTCATGCGACATAACAAATCAATACATCTCTGTAATATTTTCATTACGTGAATACAGAAAAAATATGTGACCTATACTTTTTGAAAATCTACCTGATAGACGCAGAAAAAGAAATTAATCATCATACACTATTTCTTAGTAATTGGTATTATCAACCTGGCAAGAGATCCAACTCTGTAGACGGCAGCGATGCAGTGAGCGGCAGTGAGGACGGTCCTCTGGGTGAGTATGGAGCCTCCGCAAATTAAACTCCTGATGAGTTCACCGTTTGACAACGCAACCATGTGTGGGTGGGAGCCATCTGAGGCCACGCTGCCCCCTACGATGCGGCCCTGGGCATGAACATCTACGTGCTCGAAGAACTGCGACAGATCCGATTCGGGAGCCGGCAAAGCTGCGTACATAAATAATTACCATAAATGTAAACAACCTCTTTTGATCTGGATCACGAGACTTACCTTCTTACCTTTAGTAAATGGAAAACCATATTATCTATAAAAAATAATTTTGCAACACAGAACTTTCTACACTCATTCGTCGCACACACGAATTGAGGTAACAGTGCCGAGCTAAGGAATTGAATGGAACTGAAGATGGTTATGTAGATCTACCTATTCATGATATGGACTTTGCGGGATTCTAGAAGTTAAAATGTGATAAAAATTTATAAAGCCAATTTTCCTCGTAACCGGTAGAAAACTTCCATTCTTATATACGTTTTACAATAGAAAATAATGAAAAAAGAAACTCACCCAGACATCCTAACAAGATAGTGACAAAAATTATAATAGATTTTAATGCCATGTTCCGGAGCCCAATTGCCTTTTAAAATTGTGACGATTTAACGGGTGATTTATATTATCTAACTTTCTATAATCAATAAATAAAAAATATACTGATAATTATTCGACTACGGGTAAATATGCGAATACTCGATTACTAAACATTTAAATAGTTCTCATTGCTAGATAAGATAATTTACTTATAAGTACATACTTATATCTACGTTTAAGATCATAATTTGACAACCACAACTGATATCTTAATGTATATTCTACGTAATTCCAATCATCATCCTACGCTCAGACTACGTCTAATGGTGTTTGTGTATGTAGTATAAGTATTTGTATGAAGATAATAATTTTATGTAAGCTTTTTTATGATAAAAGGGTGGCAAACAAGTTTATGACCCGTCAAATAGTAAGCGGCCACCATAGCCTGTAGACGCCACCATAGCTTGTAGAGGCTTGCGATACAAAAATATCATTCGCGCCGTTGCGTGTCATCCCCTACCCCGTGGAGCCCAAGAACCTTACTCAACGAAAGAAAAACAACACCACCAAGAGGTAGTGTTATTTTACTGTACGCTCCAATTCGAGCGGAAATTCCTGTGTGTCTTTCTTCTCACAGTTAAGTTTTTTACAGTTAAGTCTCTTTCTTACAGTCGAAGATGAGCAATTTCTTGAACTAATTGCTTGGTGCAGAGTCTTCAATGTTTATCTATAGTATGCCCTTCATGATATCGACCCGTTATCCAATACAATGATGACGGATGGTCTATGATTTTGATCAAATATTAAGATTAGCTACTTAAAACAATCAATATTTTTTAATCAGCGCATATAACAATTCGCTTGGATTTTTTTTTATTATTTTTTTGACGTAAGAATATAATACTCGTGGGTCTTATATACCATTTATATATACATTTACTTACAATAACAATAAGGTATTTGACAAGTTTAAGAAAACGATCTCACTTTATTTACTAAATTTATAGAGTCCATAAAAAGGATATTAATCATTATGTTGTGTATTTCGGTAAAAAAACCAAATCAAAAACTCTATTTTCAAGTTGTCGCCAAAAAAATTCTCTGGACAATATGGCGTTGCACTGATGTGTGACGTCACACGACTGTCATTAAAACGTCAAATTATACAATCAAATGTCACTTTAACCGGAAGTATACTTGCGTGTGACGTCATTTTAGGCTCCACCAATCCCAAGCGTTTTGGGTCACGTGACAATAGGCAAGAAAACTATTATCTTTATCGTGGGTTTTTAGTAAAATTATGAATATTTTTTCTGTAAAAATAGTAAAAACCCCTGCCAATATATATTCTAAATACCGATGCTAACAATTGGCACTTTATTTTTAATACTGTCAAAGACCCTATTTTGTTGAATTTAGGCGTGGAAAAAGATGTAGAATCGCTTGCTGATATGTGTATAATAAATATAAATCACCAAAAAAATAGTTTTTTTTAAATGGAATCGATACTACCATGATTATTTTAACCTTAACTTAAATTTTACAACAGCGTAGCCTTGTCATTCTCTATACAGAATGAGAATAAGAGTTTGATTTTTAATTTACTTTTAAGTTTGGTTGTATGATGATTCCCTAATCACGCCAGAATCAACACTATTACCTAAATATAAATCATTTTTTATTGTCAATATTTTTTTTATACATTTTTTTTACGATTCGGTAAAAAAATACGCACTACCCTAAATTTTCATCCTTCTTCTACCAACCCGTTATTTTATGGCGGTAGGAAATTCGACGGGTCATAAATTTTCATTTCATTCTAAAAAAATGTTTCAGGTCATGTGGTCAAAATTTTAAAAGGTTTTTAGGTAGCGCGGCAGTGTTCGATGTAGAATAAGTAAACAGTAACATTATCAGTTCCTGATTATCATTAATCATGTAGTTTTCATTCATAACGTAGCTACGAGTATTAAGTCCAACACTTACATCGATACTAAATGCGTGATATCAGTAATTTCAATTAATGGGAAATAATTTAAAGAAAAATGAGATATAAAAAACAAAATAATTTTATTATGTTTTATTGAGGTATAAATAAAATATTGTCACTAAATTTAAAAATATTACCTACTTTAATATCTTAAATATCAAATAAAACAAGTTTTAACGGTAAAGATGCTCTGATTTATTTATTGCCGTTTCCGACGTTTACGACGAAACGTCAATAAATAAATAAATCAGTGCATCTTTACCCTTGAAACTTGTATTATTTAATGAGTGGCGTGCGTGAAAACCTAAGAAATAAATATCTTAAATATTTGTTTAACCGGAGAGTTGAGAGTTTAACATTATCTTAAATTATGTACCCTATTTGATTTATAAATCTAAACAAAAAAATGTAGTAAATTTCCTATTGGTTTATAAATGTAGCTGTTAAATATCCTAAAATAAAAATTAAATAAACAAATAAGTATTTGAATTGTCATCTGTTTCAAATTTGTTTAAGTCATACAGAGCGGATATCAACTGTAGGTTACTATTACTACTGCCAGCCGTAGATTCAGGAACAGATAGCGTAGCGTCTTGACTCTTGGATCACAACATCCAAATGCTTGTATTGTGATTCTTTATAGAAGGTCGAATGGGTACTATTATGTTGCTAAGGTCCAATTATGAAGTTCCAATGGGCGCCATGTTTTTGATATGAGGTAGAATAGATCCTATTTTGTATGTAAGGTCCAATTATGAAGGTCCAGTGGGTACTAGACCGTAACAGGCTAGTTTAAATAAATGATCTCAAAGTGTAAAGGTCATCAATTTTATTTAGGTACCAAAACAATTTATTGCTCGAATAACTTGTCAGTAATTTTAATTTTGGGTGTGTCTCATTAACCAGTCTTCGTATGCGCTGACCCTCACAAACATGTCGGGAGCGTCGCGCGCGCACGGTATGCCCCACGACACGATACCGATCTGTGTGCCGCGGTCACGGCGCACCAGCGCGCTGCCGGAGTCACCCTGCAAAATAATTAGGTACAAATCAATAAAAAAATTAACGCATAAACTTTATATACTTTCTGTAGTATATTAACTTTATGCTGTAACGTCAGGGCCGTATTCACCCTTACGCCAAGAGGGTCATGGCCCGGGCAGGCTGCGAGGGGCGGCTACAATGAGAGCTGCAAGGTACGGAAGAACACATAAAGAGGCATTCGTTACTAACCTATATTTTTTTGAATTACTAATTTTAGGGGGAGAGTTTGCTAATCGTAATTGGCCCGGGGCGTAAGACTTTAAAGTACGCCCCTCTGTGTAACGTGTTGTAAGTTGTGATGAGTTGGCATTCCGTTGTTCTATCAATACAGAGTATTCCGGATAGGGTCACACGGCATTTTAAGAGGAACGCTATTGCAATTACTTACGTCTGTAAGATAGATCGTGTCAGACAAAAAAGAAAGGGCAAAATATAAAATGCCTTGCCGGATTTTGTAAGACTTTTTATATTTGAGTTAAGTGAGAAAATCTGAATCTCTAAAACATGTTAGAGTTGCTATAAATAAGCATTTGGTGAAACTGACTGTTTAGTGCTTTGGAAGGGTGGCACATTACGCCTTTGCTCCTGGCTGCACCTTTTTTTGTGTTGGGGAAAGACTTGAAGTTTTCTTCGTCACCGGGAGTTGCAACTTGCAGCAAAGGCGTAATGTGCCTCCCTTCCTAAGCACTAATCAGCCAGTTTAGCCAAATGCTTATTTATAGCAACTTTAGGGACGGGGAGGAGTAGTTAGATATGTTCGTTGCAACTCCCGGCGGCGAAGAAAACTTCAAGTCTTTCCCCAACACAAAAAAGGTGCAGCCAGGAGCAAAGGCGTAATGTGCCTCCCTTCTTAAGCAATAAACAACCAGTTTAGCCAAATGCTTATTTATAGCAACTTTAGGGACGGGGAGGAGTAGTTAGACATGTTCGTTGCAACTCCCGGCGGCGAAGAAAATTTCAAGTCTTTCCCCAACACAAAAAAGGTGCAGCCAGGAGCAAAGGCGTAATGTGCCTCCCTTCCTAAGCAATAAACAACTAGTTTAGCCAAATGCTTATTTATAACAACTTTAGGGACGGGAAGGAGTAGTTAGATATGTATCCCTAAAGTTGCTATAAATAAGCATTTGGTGAAACTGACTGTTTAGTGCTTTGGAAGGATGGCACATTACGACCAACTCCCGGTGACGAAGAAAACTTCAAGTCTTTCCCCAACACAAAAAAAAGGTGCAGCCAGGAGCAAAGGCGTTATGTGCCTCCCTTCCTAAGCACTAATCAACCAGTTTAGCCAAATGCTTATTTATAGCAACTTTAGGGATGGGGAGGAGTAGTTAGACATGTTCGTTGCAACTCTCGGCGGCGAAGAAAACTTCAAGTCTTTCCCCAACACAAAAAAGGTGCAGCCAGGAGCAAAGGCGTAATGTGCCTCCCTTCCTAAGCACTAATCAACCAGTTTAGCCAAATGCTTATTTATGGCAAATTTAGGGACGGGGAGGAGTAGTTAGATATGTTCGTTGCAACTCCCGGCGGCGAAGAAAACTTCAAGTTTTTACCCAACACAAAAAATGTGCTTGCAATGAACATATCTAAGGACACCTCTCCGCCCCTTTCATCCAGCACTAGGGCTCGGTGAAATGAGTAAGGCCCTACCCAGTAAAATCGTTAAAAATACTTCTACATCGGTCACCCGACACACACTCTCAGGATCGAGTCCCCTAAATGCGTGCCGAGAGTGCGGGGATTATGTTGGGGTCATGCGCATTAGCACTTGCATCTACAGTCGTCATCCCTCTATCCGAACTGCGAACCGCCACATAGTGCGTTCCACCTATGCGATTTAATCCGTATTAATCAAAAGCCTGCAGCAGGGGGGGGCACCAAAAGTCAGATGATAATGGTGATGGTTATACTAAAGTTGAGGAGCTCGATGGTGCAAGTGGTAAGCGTGTTTGGTTGTGATCGTTGAAGTTAAATAACTTTCGCCGCGGTCGGTCATTGGATGGGTAATCAAAAATTTACTATCTCGAGGTTCTGCGTGATTCGAAAGGCACCTTAAGCCGTTGTCCCCGACTGCATCTGCAGTCATTAGGACCCACCAATCCGCAGTGGGCCCACGTGGTGGGTCATGGCCCAATTCTCTATTCCATCCATACGGAAGGCCTGTGCCCAAGCAGAGGGGACTTAATGACTGATGATGATGATACTAACGTTGCACATGCCGTGGTCGGCGCCGGCGGTGTGCATGGTGCACAGCTCGATGTGCGGCTCCACCGGCGGTGGGCGCATATTGTTGGCTTCGGCTATACGAGCTACGTCCTCCACGCAATCAGGGCCTGACACCGTGAAAACATCGAGCTCCAGTAGCTGAGCTGATATTGCTCCTTGGTGCTGTGAAAACAATAAGAAATGCATTTTCAAAATTCATGTTTGACTACGATTATAGAGGATATTGCAGAGACAATTAATTTTCAATACTCAGATCTCTCTCAGATCAGAACTTATGTGACTTCCAAAACTCATTGCATTGTTTGAATAATTTCAAGAAAATTTATACTAGATTGAGTCTTACTAGCTAAATGTGAGTTGCTCTTAGTAATTATTAGTCAGTTTCCGAATCATGGTTATGAGATCCGTAGCATACCTATAGCAGGAAGCAACTAATTGCTTTGAAGACTATCTATTAGTCAGTCTGTGACTGACTGTAGAAAAACATGAACTAATTGAAAAATGTATCCTTGATTACCGTGATCCTTCCCCAACCAGCGGCTCTGGCTTCGATACCAGCGCCGATTACTTCGAAATCAAGAAAGATTGGGCGGACTATTGCACTGAAGGCGATCGGCGAGTTAGTGTAAATGACACCCAAGTCGTTCTTGATCGTGGACGCCACATAGTTCGGGTGAGTCGCGTTGTGTGTGATCCTGTATACCGAGCCTCCTTGAGCCCATTCGTTTGTGCCCACAGCTACATGGAGGCCACTGTAATACAAATATTTAGTTTTAACTACTCATACATTTTATTATATTTTTATTTGGAGCATTTAGCTGCTAGATGTTTGAATCGTAAGAAAATCTTATTAGAAACTCCTCCTCCAAAAACTCCGCTATCAGGGCGGATGCACTGACCAATTATGCTACCAGCTATGACTTGGCATTTTTTTTTCTTATTTGTTGCCAAACCAAATAATATATTGTGAGAGCATTAATTGGTGGTTCGTAAAAAACAACATGAAGCAGTAAATGTTCATTAGTTACAGTTTCCCTTTTAACGCTTTTGTTGTGTTTATTTATAGTGAAGGTGTTCTGTAAAACTTGGACTGTGGGACTTCTTTAGATTTTGACAGTAAAATGCTTACAAAATAAAAATATAGGTAAAAGTTTTCTTGTGTTAGAACAATAACGAATGAATAAAAAAGCCGAAACACGCATGCTTTAGTGTTGCACCGAATTTCGTGAGTCCTACTGAATGTCGTTTTCTGCCGAATATTCGGTTTAATTATGTGCCGAACCGTAACCGAACCGAACGAAGGCGAAGTTCGGTAAAAGCTGCCGAACCTCGGTCGTACCGAATATGAAACTAATTTCGGTGTAACTCTACTAATTCGTTTTCAACAAACCTGATGACGGCTCCATTATTCCAGACGGCAGCGATGCAGTGAGCGGCAGTGAGAACGGTCCTCTGGCTGAGTATAGAGCCACCGCAAACCAAGGCCCTGATGCGAGCTCCGTTAATCATCGCAGCCATGTGTGGGTGGGAGCCGTCGGGGGCCACGCTGCCCCCACGATGCGGCCCTGGGCGTTCACATCTACGTGCTCGAAGAACTGCGACAAATCCGGATCGGGAGCCGGCAGAGCTGCGTTGCGTTTAATATTTTTAAGCATATTTTTTACTAGCGGCCGCCGTTCGTGAAGTACGCGTGGAGTTGGTTAGAAATAAAGGTTCACTGCTCGTTCCCCGTTGGTGATAGCGCAATAATATCTAGCCTATATGTTGACCCGACTTCTTAATAATATTCGTGCTAAAGGACAATGTTAAATTTGGCCTAAGAACCAACACCAATTTGGCATTTATGATAATTCTTAGTATATTTTTTGCGATATTTATCAGTATTTAGATTGTGACGGACACTTCTAGTTAAGTGAGCTATATTAAAAAGTTAAAAAATAATCTGAGACTACCATTTTATGTGTCAGCGCTGCAAACAAAACACTTTCTTCCTAATGCCGGCACTTCACTTGGCTATTCGTGTTTGCTTTTTGAAAACTTGACATCATAGGTTGCTTTCCAGTTACAGAGCATAATGCGACTCAGTGCAATGCCGAATTATGCTGATGCTTAATTGGAACGTGAATTAGTTTTCAAATGCACCAGCAGAGTGCGCTAAGTTCAGTGTTGAAAAAAAAAGTCAATGTTGGTACCTTCATCCATACTTATATTTATTTTTAAATAAAGTTTGAATTAACTATGATTATTTTAAAAAAAGAACAATGAAAGGAAAGCTTTTTAAAAATTTCAACAATAAATAATATTTATTACTAACGATATTAAATAAATAAAACATTTCGATCAATGCCAACTTAAAGAAAAAAACATTTTGTTTATTTTGTTTTGTTTTATTTGTTTATTTTCTGTCACTGAGTTGGTACGATTGCACGCATCACACTAAAACATTACTTTTGAGAGTGCTCGATTGTGCAAAGCGTTGCTGTTGTTGAAACATTCAACGATAGGCATTATGCCGCATAGTGCGCTGTAGTGCTGTGATTGGAAAACTACCAGTCTGTCCTTTTTATTCCATATTAAGCATGACAAGAACAGGCTGTTGTCAAGTGAAGGGCCGGCATAAAACTCGATACTCTGTGGTTGTGGTGCAGGCAGTTTGCATTCGTAGTAATCTGTGGCATTCGTGGATTCTCGTTTCGGATTTCCTGTTGTGTGTGTTTATTTGCGATTGTTTTTCCTATAATTTAACTATTTCGGCTATCTAATATGCCATCGATGTTACCAAATAGCAGAGACCTTGTTACCAAGTGCTAGAAAATCTGTGCCACAACATCCTGAGAGGATCATACTGCCAAATTATTCAAGAGCAGCTGATACACATTCAAGCTGCATATTTACACAATATACATGTGATATACAAATAAAAAACAATGTGATACAATTATGTGAAAAATAGTCAAAAAATAAGAAGCAACACTACAGTTTTTATTTTATTCATGATTCCTACCAAGTTTTTCCTAATAGTTGTTTTAAATAAAACTAGTTTTTACGGGTTAATGCACGAAAACTTTATTTATTTATTGACGTTTCGTAGCCTTTACAGACTACGTCGTCAGAATAAAACTTTTATTTAATTTGTCGAGCTACCTTCGAAAGACTTTTTTTTTTCGGGTTAATACCCGTAAAAACTAGTTTTATTTAATGAGTGATGTGCGTGAAAACCTAAGAAACAAATAAGTTGTTTTTAAATCGCACCGAATAAAAATGAATTAGTTGTAATATTAATTCAATTCATACTAAGTTCATAGGTTGACCTATTGTTTCATTTAATATTAAACATAACCTCAAAAAATATTTAGTTTTCCTGATAATTGAAGTTCTCAGAAGTGTCTGTCAATAATCTTTGTTTTTACAGTCATTTACTTGCAATTTCGAACCTAGATATAATATTTCATGATTGTTGGTTCTTAGGCTAACAATGTATGGACGCAGAACAATGTCCTTTGAAGTAAATTCATGCAATATATTGTTTTAAACTTTCATGGTCACTAACATTATAGTAACTGTTACTCCGTGATCATGGCGCTTGCAACAGTGCCGAAATATCGGAAACTCGCTAAAAACAAGGTACATGGTAACAATCCCGTAAATAACTTATATTACTATAAATTCATGCAGTACTTTTTGAGTTTATCCTGGATATACATACAGACAAACAGACAAAAATTCTAAAAACTCGAAACTCACGGGAATCAAAACTTACAGGGTACTTCCTGTGAACTTAGAATCTTGAAATTTGGTACGAAGTAACGTCTTGTACTACAGATAAAGGAAAAATTGCGAAAACCGTAAATTTTTAGTTACATCATACAGGTAATAAAAAATATTTTTGAAAATTTTAAAGTTACTACCTTATTTATGATGTACGCGTAGAGGTATTATATTGAGTCTATACAGAACCCTCGGTGCGCGCGTCCGACTTGCACTTGGCCGGTTTTTATGATCCAGTAATCGAACAAACGTACTGTGTCCTTTTTTTCATACCGATTTTTAATTGAAAAAGGATGAAGAAACTCACCTAGACTTCCCAATATGATAGTAGCGAAAATAAAACCGGATATAAATGCCATTTTGTTAACTTTAATAAATAAATCGAAGGGTGTGCAATCAGTTCCCTTTAAACTAAAATGATTGAATGGATTATTATTAATATACTTTTCATTTATCAAACAATATCTCCGTATTGATAATAATTCGTCATCAATTCGTGTGTTCTGAATACGCGTGCATTCAATTAAATAATGGCAAAATGCTAGTCGGACTGTCGTAAGAAGGGTTCCGTACGAAGATTTTACATCCTATGGCATAGCAGCGATTGAGAAGATCAAAATTAGGTTTCTGATATTTTTAATAATAATATTCAGTTTGTGATAACAAATATCGAATTAAAACCAAAAAGTATTAGGCCCTCTTTAATTTTTTAATTTAATTTTTTTATAGCATCTCTAGTATAATTACAACTTTGTGAATTGTGACTAGCTTTTTGGAAAAATTATGTCTTTCTATAGCAGCTCAAGATATATTTCAGCGATTTTATATGTTAATTCAGTTTTTTGGTATGTGGAGGTACTCTCCTTTTGTTTCTTAATTTCGTTTTGTTTTTATTATTTTAGAGGCAATGGAAATATCATACACTCTGTGAACAAAAAAACTATCGTAGGTATTTTGAAATTGATTCCTTCATGATTTATACTAGCCGCTAAGAGTTAGTCAGATCACGAAAGAACAGGTGCACTTACTAATTGACTTCCATTAGTAGCTTTCGGGCACGGAACCCTAAAAGCAATAAATTATTATTTCCTCCTAGACGATACATACCTTTATCGTTATACTGTTTATCGAATGATCAATCAACAAAATAAAACTAAGTCGATGACATGTAATAAGAAGGTACAAAGTTCAAAATATTTGTATAATTTTTGATGTAATGTATCTTTCTTATCTTTACTTTAGTAAGTAGTTTTAGCTTAGTGTCATTTGCTTGAAGTTTTATTTATTAATACTTATTGCACAAGCGTACGAAGGTGGACTTAATGCCGTAGGCATTCTCTACCAGTCAACCATAGGGAGTTGTAGATAATATAATGAGTGGTAGAAATATATTATGTAGTAGTCATACATATGTAGACGTTCATACAAGACATGTCTCATATATCATCAAATTAGTAAGTTTTTGATATATTTCTAAGTGATTAAAAATGCTCTAAATCGAGGATTTTCGTAAGGCAATATTTAGGGCAATTTTCAAAAAAATATAGGACAAAATCAAAACCTGATTGTGGAAACACTGGGTAGTATGTCTATTAGACGATAGATGGTGCTATTTGCCATTTGTACTGGTATTAATACATTAAAATGTTTATATTTTCTCATTTATAAAATTATTAATTTAAAGATGTCTATAAAAATTACTAAAAACGATTTAACTTGTCCAAGGCACCGGGCAGGGATTACAGGTTACAAGAAAACACGTTCACGTGTTAACTCCACGAAAATGGAGTCAAAACTATATCAGCGCCTCTTGCGCTGCTGGGCAGCTAGAACTAGTTTCTGTGTTCTGTTGCAGCATTGGTACAAACTCTGTGACATTGCATACAGCAGCTCCTCTTTGTATTTACTTCATGTTCGGATACCCAATTGACCGGCCACTCTGTACAGATTTGTATTTTATTTGACAAATTCTGTACTTACGGAGACAAACAGCTATAATCTATAGCTTCGGTTTATCCAGCTTATTGGGTATTTATAATCCGAAGAAACCCTGACTCACAAGTGCTTTTATAAGCCTGATCTGAATAAGTGATATCGAAGCTAAATAGCATGTTCAGGCATCATTAAAAAACATTGTATCACAGTTTCCCAAATTTATTGTCAAAACGGGGGAGGTTTTTGCCGAATATATCATGGTTTTAATTTCGGATGTACGTCTGGAACCAATCTTCGTAAGCGCTGACCCGCACGAACATATCCGGAGCACCGCGCGCGCACGGGATGCCCCACGATACGATGCCGATCTGTGTGCCGCGGTCACGACGCACAAGCGCGCTGCCGGAGTCACCCTGTAACATGATTCGTAAGAAGCTATCAGCTGCTAAATCAATGTGAAACAGTTAGGTATGCAAGAACAGAAACAATTAGACAGCACTGTGTCCTAGACAATCTGAAATCAACCCAATCTTTCCTCATCATTTCTTTTGCAGCATGATAATGATGAGTAGCTGTAAATTTTGAAATAGCAAATACAAATAGTAGTTTTTGATTCGGGGCCGTCATGTAAAACTGGGCATTTGCCCATGTGATGTGTTTTATCGTAAAGACAATATACGTGTAGGAGGCGTTAGTAATAACACACAACAAATTGATAATTCTTTTGATATTCGCAACTAGACTCTGGTCACACACTTAACATCATCAAAATGACAGCTAGTAGATATTGTGTTATAAAATTTGTGTGATTTTGTGTTACAACCATCTGCGCAACTGAATAGTTAGTGGAATCTCTAAAATATACGCTATTCCGGTCAAGTGGACGTGAGAACTTTATTGTAGTGTTGCTTACCACGGTTATGTAGCGTCTATTATAAATTACGGGATTCTTTTGTGGGGTAATAGTACAGACATTCAAAGAGTTTTCATTGCCCAAAAGAAATGCGTGAGAGCTATATGTGGTAAAGGTCCCTTTGATAGTTGTCGACCACTTTTTATAAGTTTAGGTTTACTCACAGTCCCTGCTAAATATATATTAGAAATATTTAAATTTGTCAGCCAAAACCCGGGGTTATTTCATAAGGCCAAAGATATATACCCCCGAAACACTAGAGATGGTGATAGATTTGTTTTGGACTTTGCACCAAAAACCTCGGTGTACCAGAAAAGCTCGTATAACATGTGTATTAAGGTATACAATAGAATTCCAATTCAATTCAAGCACGGACCTATAAAATTAATGGCAAAAAAGTTACGGGACTGGTTAATAAGTAAATGTTTTTATAATATAAATGAATTTTTAATATGAAATAATAATTATAATTTTGTTGACATAATGAAGAAATGGCTATTGACTTAAAAAAATTGACATGTATTAAATGATTATTATGTGTAATATAATGTATAGTTATTATGACATTTGGAATGCAACTATAACTCAATTTAAATTTGAATTTTTAGATATTTTATTAGTATTTTGTATGCTCTTTCAAGGGCGAAACATATGGAACTTTTTAATATTGTTTACCAGCTGTAACAAACTATGTTTCATGCAAATAAACTTTCATTTCATTTCATTTCATTTCATTTCATTTCATTACCTCACAGAAGCTTATCGAAAAACCCAACTTGATACAATTCGTGCCAAACACTCCAAAAAACTTTAAAATGCGTCACACCGACATTCTAATATAAATAAAAAAAAAATAAGATTTGTATTTATGTATACGACTGAAGGACTTGTATCCATGGTCATGAATAATTTATAAAAAAAAATCAAAATGACAGGGTCTTGCTTAAGAAGGTAGGCATGTTATGCCATTGGTCCTGATTTTTATCTGCAATCTCTTTCAGCACCCATCAATCCGTATTGAAGGGTTAGATATAAGTCGTTCTACCCATGTATTCAATTATGGAATTTTAAATTGGGAAGTCTCATCTTATCAGAGCAGCTCAGCTGATAAGCAGCAGAATCGATTGCCCACGTAACAAAAACTTTTTCGAATGGCGACCAAGCACTGGACGACTTAGTATTCCTGGACCGAAAAGTTAGGAAATCTTTGGGAAAGGTCTATATATGTTGAGGTCTACTATGCTCAACAGTCAGTGGCGGCGCTAGACCACATGTGGACGTCGGCGACATCAAGTTCGCGAGGCCTATTTTACTTCGCAGTAAAAAACCGTTAAATTAAGTGAGCCAAATTATAAAATAACGTATGAGTAAACGAGTTTTATTGTTGGTTCATAGTGTTGCCAGACAGACGATTCTGAATACTCGTAAAGTACTACTCGCTTCCATCACGCATGTGTTCGAAATTAATAAAAGTCATTATCATCTGCTTAGCTTTTCCCCGAATTGTTCGGGGTCGGCTACTTAAGCCAGGCCCGGAGAAACGAAAATAAATAGGAATAAAAATTTTTTGCGAGGCCCTCTCAGGCGCGAGGCCGTCGGCGGTGGCCGACGTCGCCGACGCCTAGCGCCGCCACTGTCAACAGTAACCACAGAAACCTCTTTCTGTGTTCTGTTGCTGTGACCGTAGTAGGTTATACGGCTGAATGATGACGATGATAACAAAAGAAAGAATGTGTGTTGTTCAGCAAGAACGGGAATTCATGAACTATATAATAATGATCATATAATACTTACGTTGCACATGCCGTGCCCGGCGCCGACAGGGTGTGAGGTGCACAGCTCGATGTGGGGTTCCACCGCTGGCGGGCGAATATTGTTGGCGGCGGCTATACGAGCCACTTCTTGCACGCATGTAGGGCCTGACACCGTAAGAACATCCAGCTCTAACAGCTGAGCTGAAATCGATCCTTGGTGCTGTGAAAATATTAATATTGTGCATTTATTGAACTTCTTAACACATGCATATTGTCAAGTAAGAGGGTTAGGCAAGGTACTAGCCATTTGTTAAGATCCAGACACACTAATTTCGCTACCTTCATAAGCATCAATCGCTGCATGCACAACCGTTGGTATCTATAAGTCTGAAGTAAAATTGCGGCTATTTTTAATAGCACCAGTTTAGTCACGGAACATTCTCCACAGTTGTCTTTTGCAGACATTTCCACTCTCATGCGTCCAGTCATTAATCACGAATTCTTATGCTCAAATTATTTAAGCTTCTTTCAAATTGACAACCAATGATCTCAACTCTTTTAATAATTTCTCCAAGTTAGGATTCTAAGTAGATGTTTATTCAGTTCACTGAATCAGTGTTCAGAGGACCAAGCACGTTTTTTGAGATCTCCGTAATCGTATCGTCATAATCAAATTTTGTATGGAAGGAGCCAGTTTGTTCATACGTCCGGAAGGGGCGCTGCTTAGTTTATATATAGAAACTTTGACGATGCGATACGATTAAGGAGCTGTCAAAATTCGTGCTTGGTTTCAGCTGACTTTATTAAGTTTGCAAAAAATGGGGGAAGGGTCATTTTTTATTTAAGGCCTATATATTCGAATACGTTTTTATCTCAGACCCTGTTGATTGTTTCGAAATAATACGTTTTATAGGTAATTACTCTGATTCTGCCCCAACCAGCGGCTCTGGACACGACATCAGCGCCGACCAACTCGAAATCAAGGAAGATGGGGCGGATGGTGGCACTGAACTCGATGGGGGTGCTGGTGTAAAGGACACCCAAGTCGTTCTTGATGGTGGCAGACACGTAGTGCTGGTGAGTCACGTTGGATGAGACACTGTGTAGTGAGCCTCCTTGTGCCCAGCGGTTTGTGCCCACTACTATACGGAGGCCACTGTAATACAAATAATTGATAGTGCAATAAACGTTGAAGTATTAGCAGCATAGAAACCACGCATTAGTTACCTACTCGTTTGTCAAGTCAACCTAATACAGAATAAGTTCTTCTGTAAGGATAGTAATGTATGAACGGATATACAATAGCATGCACGAATAGCAAAGGATACTTTCGATTTCTGCCCAATTTTGTACATTGGTACATCATCAGCCTATTAATGTCCCCACTGCTGGGGCACAGGCTTCCCTATGGATGGAATAGGGAGATTGGGCCATGACCCACCACGCGGGCCCAGTGCGGGTTGGTGGGTGCTAACGACTGCAGATGCAGCCGGGACCAACGGCTTAACGTGCCTTCCGAAACACGGAGGAGCTCGAGATAGTAAATTATGGTCACCCATCCAATGACCGACCACTGCGAAAGTTGCTTAAATTCAACGATCGCTGCGGAACGCGCTAACCACTTGCGCCATCGAGCTCCTCAAGAAATATATAAAGAAATTATCTAAAACAACATCTAAAATTATACTTAAACAGAATCACTCGTTTTAAAATATTTTGAAAAAGAGAATCTGCGAACAAAAATACGTAATATATTATCTAGACGCAATTTGTTTCACGGATGACAGCTAATACTATTGGTTTAAATTCATTTCCTTGGTTGTGATTGGTTGTATTTGAAATCACAAGACTGTTTTGGTCACATTGTAACTATGAATATGACAGTTACATTTAATTGCCTTGGTACACAGCCTTTTACCCAACCCAGCGGCGTAGCGTGGGTGTCGGCGGCCTGGAGCGAAAGACAATTTTGGCGCCCTCTTATTTAAATGGTTGAAATATTTTTATTATTTATTTTAAAATTTTGCCGCCCGCTAAGATGTGCCGCCCCTGCCGCCCCCACTACGCTACGCCACTGACCCAACCCTTTCAGTTATTTATTACGTAATAGTATATAATATTTAGTTAATTTCAAACTTTTGCCAATCAGCTTATTTATTTATGAATTCCGTAGCTTTATCATCATCTTCATCATCAGCCTATTAATGTTCCCACTGCCGGGCACAGGCCTTCCAGGCTTCTGCAAAATAGGGATAATGGGCCATACCCCACCACGCGGGCCAGTGTCAATTGGGGGGTGCTAATGACTGCAGATCCAGCCGGGATCAAAAGCTTAATTTGCCTTTTGAAGCACGGAGGAGGCCAAGATCGTAAATTTTTGGTCACTCATCCAATAACCAACTAGGTACTGCTAAATCGCTAACCACTTGCGCCATCGATCTCCTCGTTCCATAGCTTATTTTAATACATTTAAAGATGCACATTTACTATATTACCTGTGTTGCCATTTAAATAAATATTTCCAACACTCACAGCAATTAGCCTAGTCAGTAGTTATGGGATACTAGGGTAACGGATAGAGTACATATACTGATACATATATAACTATATTTATATAGTAATACATATTAAACATCCATGACTGGAGAACAATTAATGCTCGTATTCATCTCACAAACATCTGCCCCCACCGGGATTCGGATGTCTCGAGTAGGCGACACCTTGAAACCCAGCGTACAAACCACTCGACACCGGAGGTCAAATTGTATTAATAAAAACGTTTAAATTTTGTTTAATTTTTATGTGGTACAAGTGGATGATAAATTCTATTTATGTTTTTAGTGAACTCTGCGTATTTGTTTTCCAAACATAAATGCATGATAATACTTGAGGTACAAGATTGGGCAGTATTTTATGGAGAAAAACTTTCCTAATGAGTTGTTTTTAACTAACCTGTTAAGCGATCCGCCGCTGAAGACGGCAGCGATGCAGTGAGCGGCAGTGAGGATGGTCCTCTGAGTGAGTATGGAGCCACCGCAAACCAAACTTCTAAATAAAGATCCGGTAATCATTGCAGCCATGTGTGGGTGGGCGCCTTCGGGGGCCACGCTGCCCCCCACGATGCGGTTCTGGGCACTGGAGACATCTACGTGCTCGAAGAACTGCGACAAATCCGAATCGGTAGCCGGAAGAGCTGTGTATAATAATTTTATTTTTACTATATAGGTAGACAATGGTGATGAAGGGAACCTTGGAGTGAGATATGGGGTATTTTTCACGGTAAGAATGAAACTGCACTGGACTGATGGAGGCACACACGGACTGCCTATATGTTTATTTTCGTTTCATACAAAATATCAGAGTCCACTATGGAATTCAGATATGTCGAGAATGCAAAAAACATTTTTAAAATAAGAAAAACAATTTTCAAATGAAATAAATAGTGCTAATCTTAAACTTTCAAAAACTCTAGACATAATTTAACTTGATGAGTTTGCTAGATGAAAATTACGCCGAGCATGATCACCTCTGCTTGGGAAATCTGTGTAAGCTACACTACAACTAGAATTGATATTAAAAAAAAACTGTTCCTAATAGCTAATACAAAGTATCAAAAAGAAAATCCGGTGCTATAATATTTCCAGTTACCAGTCCAACAGGCTGTTGAAATAACCACTTGGTAAGCGACCGAGCGGCGGCTACAGACCACGGTTTGTCTACGCGAGGGTACCCTATTGCTTGTCTCTATTCAGATATCTACCCTGAAACCGCGGAGCTCCGAGGCCGTAACATAAACTGTTAACCCTAGACAAAAACAACGTTTGAGCGGGATGCCGCTCTTCAGTGCAGATGGGAGTTCCTCAGGGTTCCATTCTCTGTCCTATCTTGTTTTTAATTTTTATCAATGAATTGGCCTATTTTGTAAGAGATTATCACGAGATAACCAGCGCCCAACCATTAGCCGAACAACAGCGATCCCTTGCGTTAACAGTTCATAAGATTTTTTTGTGAAACTTTGATCAACACACATATTGATGACATAATTGCTCATAAATCACATTTAATTCAGTCTTTCATGCGCTGCCGGTTTCAGTATTATCACAGATAAGACGTTTCACTTTGATTTAATTGAATCAATTATCCAATGCTATCTAAAAGATAGTGATTGAGCCAAGTATACTTTGTTTATAAATATGATAAATATTTGATGCGATTTCGTGAAAGGTATTTGGTACTTTATTTAATAGATATAAATTGAGGTAATTAACAATATTAAGGATTATGATAATCTATACAATATTATATTTTATCAGAAACTACCTAAGTACATCTCGATTGAAATTGTTGTGTATGATAAAGTAGCGTTATTAAACAAAAAACTAAGGAAATCGATCGTTGGTGACACAACATAGAATAGTCCAAAAATCGTGCTCCAAATTTAAATAGCTTCTCTGTTTCAATTTGGAGCTACAGAGCTTACTCTGTCTCCTGCAATAACCTTATTGCAATCTGCGAGATCCAATTTTCAGTACGTTATATTTGACTATTTGGGTGTTGTTGTAAGAAAATAAGTATCAAAATTTGTAACAGCTTACGAGAGAGCTGTAAGAGAATTACTTTTTTACATACCACGACATAATTCTGACGACGTAGCCTGTAAAGACTACGAAACGTCAATAAATAAATAAAGTTTTCGTGCATTAACCCGTAAAAACTAGTTTTATTTAATGAGTGATGTGCGTGAAAACCTAAGAAACAAACACGACATAATGTTTGGAGAATTAAGGCTGTGTAAGAAAGATAAGTGTTTGTTTTGAATTAGTTAATCATCTATACATAAGTATAATAAAATGGTAGGTAAGTCAAAACTGTACATTGAATATTTTTTTAAATGAATACTTGGTATCTACAATCGATAAAAAAGCCAAAAATATAGTTTTTAGAATTTTTGCCTGCTGGTTTGTATGTATGTCCGGGATAAACTCAAAAAGTACTGCATGGATTTACTTCATATTTGGCACATATATTAATAAGAAGTCGGCTCCACATATTATCACGCTATCACCTACGGGGAACGAGCAGTGAACCTTTATTTCTAACTAACTCCACGCTTACGAAGTCGCGGGCGGCCGCTAGTATATTATGTTATACCTCATATGTCATATGTAAGTAATGTTATTTATCTAATTCTGTCCATTAGAAATAAGTGATAATTTATTATAAAATGGTTATACTGTTTTGTAATGTGCTCATCGGGAATTTCAATTAAGGTACAGGGGTCAATGAAGGCCCACTTAATTTCAAAACCTCGTAAAATCTTGCTGGTAAAGTAAAGGGACCACATAATGGAAGTTGTTATATATTTATTTGAGAAACCAGATATCTAAAAAAATACTACAGATTTTGGCATTTTAACACAAATGTATCCACTTTTTAGATACTTAGTATTGGACTATCTTGGGAAGCTGGTCGCTTAAAATGGCCCAATATTATTAATGAAGATATTTGCATTATAACGACTTAAACATCTTTAACATAGAATATCATGATAAAAACACATCCTTCGCATGTCATTATTCATAAAAGGCCAAAAATCAACCAAAAATTTAAATGTGGGCTATCTTAAATCTACCAAAATAAAAATCAACTATAAAATACACTGCAACCTCGATATAACAAATCGGAAGGGAAGAAGTAAATATTCGTTATATCGAGTAATTCTTTAAACTGAGGTTTTGGTTGTTGAGGTTGAGGTTAGGTTGGTCTAAAATTTGTTATAAAGAGGTAAAAAAATATTTTCCTGACATGATATGAATCACGCACTATGGTATAAAGGGCCACATTTTGATGGAAACGTTATATAGAGGTTTTGGTTGACAAATTCGTTAAGTAGAGATAGAGGTATTTACTCTTTTTTTGATAGTTGAAAATTTGTTAAAAAAGAGGTTGTTCGCAAAAAATAATCGCAATGTAAAGGTATATTTTACATTGACTCCTATGGAAAATTCAAGAGGATTACAAAGAATTTGTTAAATCAAGGAAGCCGTTATATTGAGGTACGTTATATTAAGGTTGCTCTGTAATAACAAACTACCTACTGAATAATATTAAATTTAACTTTGAAATCAACTTTGATAGTAACCTAACAAAATTAAAAAAAGTGTTTTTTTCTTAAATGTTTTTAGAAGTCATGCATAGGTGGGCTATCTAAATAAAACTGAAAAATAACTTTGAGATCAATCAAAATATACAAAAATAGCTAAAACAAATTAGACGCTACTGTCTTTAATAGTGTATGTAAAGTCCTAACAAAAATAATCTGAAAATAATCCCAAAAGATGCGCAGACAAACGTAAAAAAAACAAACATACAAACATAAAAATACACTAACACTACATTTCAATAATCCTAGAAAGATCCGGGCCTAGAAAGATTTTTGAGAATTATATTATGGGCCATGTTAGAAAATTACACACGAGTAAATTATAATCTCATAAAAATACAAAAAGAGAAATAAAATAATAAACCCTCACTGTATTTCGCTGATAAATAGTTTAAATATGAAAGTTCACAGTTTAAAGCAGAGTTTTGCTATAAATTTATTAATTTTCAAAAGGATTTAGATAATGGTGGTTGTAAAACGCGTATCGTCTTGACATGGTACCAAGCAAACTGTCATCTGTCTTCAAAATAGCGACGCGCCGGGAATGAAACACACTTGCTCTATTGTCTATGGTACTAGTAATAAAAACCTACGACATTTCAAATGTTTCGAATAATCATAATTGTATTTCTTTTAAAGTGGGCTAACCTAGGAGCCCGACTTATCTTAGGCGACTTGTTAACCCATTATCACCAACACACCCATCCGCAAATAGTTTTTAGGGTTATATGTAGTCAGTGTCAATCAGGATGACGCTCAAATCTGTTGAAACTTTAAAAGTTCATGGTATTATAACTGCCTTACGTTCTATGTGTCATGGTCCATGACGGACTTAAAACACACATAGGTCCGTTTTACATAGGTACTCACGCACAGACAGCCACAGGATAGGATACTCAAATTCTCCAACTAGCTTTGAGCTTTATAATACTTGATATTCCTGCCTCTCATGGGGCCTTCAGTGGCTCAGTCTCAAACCGATACAGGGGTGCACATCGGAGTCGTCTCCGAGTTGCCGTCCTCTAGCGCACTATGCAGTAGTATTAATTAAGGCAGCGCTGCATCATTCCCTACTCAGGGGACGTTTTACACGAGCGTGAAATGTTTGACAAGAAAGTAGGTAGAACAGTTTATATGGGAAAATTGAATTATTGTTTCTACTTTCGTCCTCGCATATTTTCTCACCGTTAACCGCTTTCACTAAGACAAACATTTCAAAACCAAAATCAGCTAAGTCGGCCCAGCCGTGTTTAGTTTTAGCGAGACAAATGAACCACTATTGATGTATATAGAAGATTTTGGTAACTTGATGATTGTAATTGGCCAATTAGGTAGTACATGAAAATAATAAAAATACATCACAGAGTTTAAAACAACTACTCTCCTAATAATGTCTAATTAAAAAATAGTAATTAGGTTAATTTACTTTTCCTTACTTTATATGATTAAATGTACTAATTTGTAATTTGTTCCAAAAAATAATTCATTTATATTATAATTAGGTACCTAATACTTTTTAATTGAGTAATAAAGAAATGTAAAACCTTACCCAAACATCCAATCAGGATGGTGGCGAAGATAATGCCAGATTTTAATGCCATGTTGCGGGTGCCCGGGAGACTTTCAAATTAAAATGATTAAACGGATATTATATAGTTTCATTTATCAAAGAATCTACCTACCTAATCTACCTATTGATAAATTCAAATACCGGCCCAGTGCAAGTCAGACGCACAATTGAAGGGTTCCGGATCATTGTACCTAGGTATATGTTTATTCACCCAATAAATGACTCTGATAGAAATAGAACTATAAAAATAATATTAAATATTTCCAACACTCACACCAATTAGCCCAGCCCCAAAGTAAGCACTGTAGGCTTGTGTTATGGGCTACTAGGGTAACATATTATATGAATATATTTATATAGAAATATATAGTAAACAACTATGACTGGAGTACAAATCAGTACAAGGGTAGTTCTTCAAGGATCTTTTTTAGCGGTCACACTCTTGTTATTCCTAACCTATTGTAATAATAGAATGAATAATATTTCTTTATTTACTATATCGTTAGTCTGTGCGGAAAGAGAATGGGATTTAGATTGGAGGGCGCCCTGTCCGACCCCTTTTAGACATGATTAAATACAAAAAACCGCAAGAAATCACAACAACAAACAAATGCGTATCAATACAAAACTTTGACGTTTTACAGATTGCTGGGTTTGATTGCCAAATAAAAATCTTAATGTTAGTTCCGTTTTTCGCCACGCCCATTCTATTTCCGCACAGACTCTATATAATTATAATAATAAATTAGTGATATTTATTATATTACATTATAAAATATTTTTTAGGTCGGAACCGGGAGTAAAAATTATTTAACCAATGATTAAAAATTAAAAAAAAATGTGGAGTGAATTGAAAAAATGTACAGTGCATTTTGTCATTGTTACACGTTTTAACAATTTCGTGAGCACGTGTCTTAAACGGCTCACACCTTTGAATAGTGCCGACATGTAGCTATAAGCGCGGATACTCAGTGGTACCCTGTGTCCAATGTGGTACCTTATATAAAATGTTTACTCCATTGTTCCATAGATGGAGCTGTATTAATGTTATACTCACGGTATGGTTTAGTTCGATTGAAATATATAAGGTTTAAATAATTTCGAAATAAATTGTCTATACGTTCCGGAATCTAGTTTTATTTATTGAACTACATCATTCCTGGCCTGGGGACCTTAGTACAAGGTCCTTACGAGTCGGATCGTTTTTTGAAGAATCAAGCTGAAGTCTTTCACAAATCGCAGTTGCTATTGTTCAATGTAAATAAAAGCGGATTTTACAACAGCGTGTTTTAGAAGTGGAAAGATTACTTTAATAGCGACATCTAGCGGTGAAAAGGAGCAACAGACATCGGAACTAGGAGTTGATGGACCTGGAAGTTTAAGCATTGAATTAAGATTGATTGGTAAAATACAAGGAAAACTGTGAGTACGATTTTCGCCCTTAAAGCTTAGTATTAAAAGACTTAGAAAAATAGAGAAGATAAGAGGACTTGGAAAGTTTAGAGCTATATAGTAGCTGAGACTTAGAATAGTTTCGCAAAAAACGACAAGACGGGGAACCTATGCCCAATTTTAGAGCGAAATATTCTAGTCTAAAGACTTAGAAAATTTTGACGAAAATATTCACATTCATACTTCACATAGAACAATAATTCGAAACATTTATACACAATGGATGCTGACCTAAGAGTAATGAATGACCTGTATAAGCAGATAGAGAAAGGAAAATTGAATTTTAAAAAAACTCCGAAGGAAAGAATTACAGAGTCATATGTTACTGCCAGATTAGAAGGTTTAGAGAGATTAATCAAGAACTTTAGTGAAAAACATGAGAAGATTATTTCAACTTACCTTCCTGAGGAGTTGTCAGCAAGCAATTATGTTAAAAATGATGTTTTCGAAATGGGTTATGAACTGTACTTAGTTTATAAAGCAGAATTAAGCGCCGCGTTAAAATCAAATAAGTCACAAATCGTCAATAGTTCTAATTCACCTGATGTAAAAAACGAGCCAATTGTTAGATTGCCTAAAATTTCTCTGCCGTTTTTTGTCGGAAAATATACAGAATGGCCATCATTCAGAGATTTGTTTAGTTCTTTGATTATTAACAACTCGTCACTGGACAATGTTCAAAGATTACACTACTTAAAGACGCAAGTAAAAGGTGAAGCGGAACAATTGATTAAACATATCCCTATAACACAAACTAATTTTACAAAATGTTGGGAACTATTGCAAAATAGATATAATAATAAAAGGTATGTATCTAATTGTGTACTTAAGAGGTTGTTTGGTCAGCGTACTATGAATTGTGAATCTGCTCAAGGTTTAAAGGATCTTCTTGATACCACATCTGATTGTATTCATGAATTGTCAAATTTAGATATACCGGTAAAACATTGGGATGTTATAATTCTATATCTTGTTAGCTCTAAATTGGATCCAGAAACTCGTAAGCAATGGGAATTATATGTACACGATTTGTCTGCAGATTTACCATCTTATACTCATTTTACCGACTTTATAGAGTCGCGATTTCGCGCATTGGAGTTTGTAGAGCCTACAAGAAGTAAACCGAAATTCAATACTTCCGCTCCTAACACAAAGGTATTACACGTTACGGCCGATGTCACCTGTCCTCATTGTAATGAAAATCATAAGTTGTATGCTTGTGGCAAATTTTCCCAAGAAGATGTAGCAAACCGCCATGAGATAGTTAAGTCCCTTCGTCTTTGTTTTAATTGTTTAGGTAAAAATCATTCAGGGAAAATATGTCGATCTCCATTTAAATGTCGCATATGCAAGGGTAAACATCACACGCTGCTCCATGGCAAACCTAATCCACTTACTGTAGCTGTAGCAACTGAGACACCAGAGAATGTAGTAAATGAACCGGAATCGTCCATGGCGACGAATGAGACCACTGATATAACGAACCATTTATTGACAGGAAACGTGTATAACCAAATCTTATTAGCCACAGCTTTGATAAAAGCTGAGTCGATAAATGGTCACCCTCAGATATTGAGAGCCTTGTTAGATCAAGGATCTCAGGCGTCTTTCATATCTGAAGCAGCTGTGCAACTGTTACGGCTGAGGAAGATTGCTTCTAAGAGCAATATCTCAGGATTGGGTGGGAAGAAGAGTGACTTAACCTCAAACTATGTGGTTATGGTCGATATTCAGTCGCTCTACGACCCATCCTTCAAATTCCAAGTGAAAGCACATGTTTTAAATTCAGTCACTTCTATATTACCAGAAAAGAAATTTATCTTACCCAAGTGGACCGAGATCGGTCGCTTGCAACTGGCAGATCCTCAGTACAATACACCTAATAAAATAGACATTTTGTTAGGATCTGAAGTTTATTGCAATATTTTAAAGGAGGGCTTAATTAAGAGTCCAACGGGTTCTACAATAGCGCAAAATACATACTTCGGATGGGTACTGTCGGGCCAAGTCAGAGGATATAATGAGAGTGGACTTCCAAGCTGTCATAACGTTATTTTGAATCTCCATATTACTAGTATAGATGAAAATGAAATCCTTAAAAGGTTTTGGGAACTTGAGTCTGATCACAGCTTTACTGGTAATAATATGTTGTCTCCGGAAGAACAAGCGTGCGAAGATCATTTCAGTGCCACCACCTCCAGAGACTCTGGTGGTCGTTATATTGTAGAGTTGCCTTTCCGTCAACATATAAGCCGAGATTATGGAGATACCAAAGGCATCGCAGTAAAACGCCTTCTATCTTTGGGAAAAAGATTAGCAAAAAATCAACAGTTGAGACGAGACTATGGTAATGTAATAAATGAATATTTAGATTTAGAGCATATGGAACTGGTTGAGGATGACACAGATAAAATCGATGGAAAGGTATGGCTTCCACATCACGCCGTGATAAGGATGGACAAAACTACTACCAAAACCAGGGTAGTATTCAACGCTTCAGACAGAAGTGCTAAAGGCATATCATTAAATGATACGTTGATGGTGGGTCCAAAATTACAGCCGGAATTGCGGCACACGATAATGAGATGGAGACTTCACCCAGTTTGTCTTGTTGCCGATATTATAAAAATGTATAGGCAAGTTAAAGTCGCCACTAAACATGTGGATTTTCAAAGAATAGTATGGAGGCCAACCCCGGAAGAGCCAATTAATACGTACAGATTATTGACTGTGACTTTTGGGACATCTTGTGCTCCCTATTTGGCGGTAAAAGCTTTACAGCAAGTAGCTATAGATGAAGGTCACAAATATCCTCTGGCAGCTTCTAGAGTCCAGACAGATTTTTATATGGATGATTTGATGACCGGATGTGAAACCGAAAGTGAAGCTATACTGATTTACCGAGAAATGAATGAGTTACTATCCAAGGGTGGATTTTTATTGCAGAAATGGGCTAGTAACAAAGAAGGACTATTAGAATCGGTAAAGGAGGGATCGGGGGTTGGCAGGGGGCTTGGTGACGATGATGTGACCAAGGTGGTGGGACTTGTCTGGAATCGTGGAACTGACGAGTTTCACTATGGAGTGGAATTGGAGTCTGACTTGAACTGCGCGAGGACAAAACGGACTGTCCTTGCAGAGATTTCTCGTTTGTACGATCCGTTGGGATGGATAGCGCCATGTATAGTAAAAGCGAAGATTTTTATTCAGAAACTTTGGATCACGGGGTTAGGTTGGGACGATATGTTACCCGACGAGATTTGGCGAGAATGGGAGACCTATCGACTGGAATTGGTAGAGTTAAAAAAGTTCCATATACCACGATGGGTTCGAAAGGGTGCTAACGACACCAAGGTTGAGTTGCATGGTTTCAGTGATGCATCTAACGCAGCTTATGCTGCTGTTGTGTACATTAGATGCCTCTCTGAAAGTGGGGAAGTTAGTACTCATTTAGTGACGTCCAAGACAAGAGTCGCGCCTATTAAACAAGTGTCAGTTCCGCGACTAGAACTGTGTGGAGCTGGTAACTGAAAGACAAGGTCATGTTGATTTATTGTCCAAATATTCGTCTTTAAGGAAGGCGATACGCGTTATTGCATTTTGCAGACGATATTGCCAAATTAAGTTATTGAAAATTACACATCCACCATATTTGACCGTAACTGAATATCAGGACGCGCACATGTGTTGTATTCGACTTCACCAACGTTTTTGCTTTCGGGAAGAGATCGCAAGGCTTATTAAAAACTGCAACGTTAGTAGTAAAAGTAAATTATCCACACTTAACCCATTTATAGATCAAAAGGAGATTCTC